GACCCACTGCCACTGACTTAGTGAGTCAGATACTTTGTGTAAATGTGATACTGACATCTGATTCCTCTTCACTCCTTATATGATATTTAGCCTAGGAAAATTGCTCATTTTTTATATTTTGTGGGTCTTTTTGCTTTTGCTGGAGCCAGTGGAAATTACTGTGACATTCCATGCCTACCTTCTCCTTTCCTCTCCCTCTCCCCCCTCCCTCCCTGTTTTTCATCTGCATATATGACGCACAGTTGTGAAGATACAACCTCCATGGAGGTAAAGCTCTGCAAGGAACCTTTCTTGTTGGCTGATACAAATGAGCTCCCTGATGGACAATGCTCATGTTGTTGGTAAAAACCTTTGACACTGCTGTGAGAGATAATTCTGTCCTTCCCTTGTGTTCTTGTGTCCCTGGATGTCCCACAAGAAAGCGGCATACTGGGAAGGATTGCTCAGCTGAGCTGTTTATAAAAGCTGCTTGCATCAGGAAGGTTTGCTTAATGGATGTGAGGTGGCACCATAGCCCTAGAAATAATGCCTTTCAATATGTGTGCCATTGCCTACAGCCTCTGCAGAAACCAGCAAAACAAACAGGACACTTGATCCCAGCTGGCTGATGTATGGTTTGTACAGCAGTAATCCATACAGCAGTGAATAGTTTCTATAAATGTCTTGGAAGTCAGAATCTACTTGTGGATTAGAAAGGTGCTGTGATCATCAAGCCTTGTGTGCAGCTGCAGAGGAGATAGGGTTTGTGCTGAAACAAGAGGGCTAACAATGTTGATGCTCTCAACAGCTGATGTGTGCCAGGCTCTGTAGGTCTCCTGAGGTGTTTCTGGAGCTAGCCTTAGTTTGCATGTTGGCACTAGCATTCAAAAATATCTCTTCAGACAAAGGTGTCTTGAGAACTTGAATTTGTTTTGAAAGCTTCAGTTTGGGAAAGGGGTGGAGTGTGTGGAACAGGTGATGTGTCCATTGTGGAACTTTGGGTTTGAAGTACTTTGCTTTGTCTACATGCACAGTTGGAAGCTGTGAATAAAAAGATCAGTGCTCTCTTACCATTCATCCTTTCCTATCCCTCTGGCTGTAAAATACTGAATGCAACCTTATAGAGAAGCAAAGGTGGAGCATGGTTATATGGGTGTATGCTCTTTGATGCAACTAATTTTCCATGGTAGTTATATTTATTATTTTAACTAGTGTAAGATTAAAGCAAGCATAAATGGAAAGGAGTAGATATTTTGACTCTCTCAAGGGCTTGATAGCCTTACTGGATAGGAGGCAGTGTGGAGTACGTGGGTCAGCAACCTGATCATTCAGTGTCTCCATTCAGTTTATTTTGCTAGACTGATTTCCTTTGCAAAAATGGAGCATGCCCAGAGTATTAATGGGCTCTGAAATACTTTATTTAGGAAGCTGCTGCAGGTTCTGCTGGACTGAGCTGAGATGTGAGTGTCTGAACAGGCAGTGAAGGCCACCCTGTGTCACGGAGCAGCTTAGGTTGTAAAAGAACCTCCGATCATGGACCATTAACCTAACACTGCCAAGCCACCACTAAACCATGCCCGTGTGCCACATCTTCACATATTTTAAATACCTCTGGGGATGTCAACTTCTTTGGGCAGCCTGTCCCAGTGCTTGACAAGCTTTTCTGTGAAAAAATATTTCCTAATATCCAGTCTAAACCTTTCTGATGCAACTTGAGGCTGTTTCCTAACACTCTAAGGAGATTAAAGAACTAGAAATAGTTTTTGCCTGTTGTGGAAATGTGTTCTTTAGGATGGACTGGACTAGAAACCTTCCCAAGCATTTTGAGAGGGAGCTAGTTTACAAACTTGCATGCTCCTGACTCTCAGAACAGGATCTGTGCCCCACTGTATGATTGATGGTTTGAGGTTTCCCATCTTGCTTAATAGGGTGTCCTTGGAGTTGGCTGAAGTCTTTATTGCCCTTGTGTGTGGCAGAAAGGAGAGGAATGGCAGAAAATCAGCATGGGACAGCATTGCAGTAGGGTAGCTTTTGTTGGGTAGCAGTTAATTTAAGAAGACAAGTTCAGAAGACTAATTAATCCTGGCTAAATGGCTTTGTTGGCAAGAAGGTCATAACTAATTACTAAGTTATGTTAATTATTAACTGACGAATCAAAATATCTTCTTTTGCTGAGCTTATGAGTTAAAATTACTACTTTGTGCTATAAATTAGTGCTTGCTCACCTGTGAGGAGATACTGTGATTTATCCTCCTGCCCCTCCAGTTAGTGTTTATTAATTATGGGTCAAACTCAGTGAATCAAGTATAGTTGTCTTAAGACAAAGTTAAAATATCTACATTTGTGATAGCTGCTCTGGCATTAGGAGCCTTGTGGCTCTTGAAATGGTCTGTTGATTTGCCTTGGTGTGTGAGCTGGGTGGTGCTCTTACCTCCCCTGTAGGCTCTGGATTTGGCCACGGTCTGGAGAGGGTGGGGGAAGCCTGCTGGCACACCGGCTGTTCTGGGGTGCCACTATGCTAAAATTCATGATTGTAAGTGGCCAAAAGTTCAGCCCTATAGGTTAATAATGGCAAAACCTGGACCTTTGTGGCCCACTGCACTATTCTAGGGAGTGGCTTGTTTGCTTGCCTGGTTTAAAGACCGTGGATTATATTTTCTATCTTTCCTTTGTTTTTTAAACTGTGTTCACTTCTCCGAAGTCCTGTTTCTCTGCTGAGTAGCTCACAAAACAGAAACTTGACTTTAAGAGCTGCATAAGAAAGTCTTTCTAAAGATTTCATGTCTTCCTTTTATTCTTTCTGGTTTTCTGAGGCTTATTTTAAGCACAATTCACCCCTATTTTAACTCTGCAGGATTTTGGTCCATTAACCCTATCCAACCATTATGGGGTTTTTGTTTTGCTTTTCTGATTAGCTGGAAGCTTAGGATTAGATAGATTTTCACATCTGCTAACTTCCTATTTCATATCTTGTGATTTGCAAGGCTTAACCTTCCCTGACTTGTTAATGGAACACAAACCACCTGCTTCTTTGCACTAATCCCTGAGAAATATGTAGCATGGCTTTGACTTGAAACACTCCAGTTTGATTCCCCAGGGTAAAAAGGATCAATTCTGGTTTGAACAAACTGCTTATCTACACTTTCTCTGCTCTTCCACAAGGCTACATCTCCAACCATTGCTATCTGCCCTTTAACTGTCAAGAAAGTTTGGTGCCTTTATTACCTTGGCCTTCAGGGTAAGATATGAGTGGATAGGGGTGTGTGAAATGGCATGGCTGGAGAGTAGAGTAGTCTAAAGGAGGGGAGGGCATATCCTGTGCTTCCTTGGTGCTTTGGATGCTGGCTTTGACCTAGCAACGTTAATGGAGTGTGGAAGGTCCAGCCGAGGACTCTCAGCTTTAAAGTACTGGTGTGTCACTCCTCTTTTCTGCCCTCTTTTCAAAATTGACACTCCTTGTGGCAGTGTAGCCTGGTCAGACCAAAGACCAAAGCTGCCAGGACTAGGTGAGGGGATGCCAGAGGCATTGCAGGGCCCTGTCTCCCCTGAGCTATGCCTGTAGCACTCCTGGCCCTGCCTGCTGCTGGGGATGTGCAGCAGGGCGTGGAAGGATGCAGATCTCATTGCAGGCAGCGTGGTGCCAGGTGTGCTCTGTCCTGGGCGTGAGTGTGCGCCGCCTGAATTGAAATGTTGGTGAGCTCTGTAGGTGAGGTTCTGCAGTGGATTTCTGAGGTGCCTCAGCTTTTTGCCCTTCTGTTTGGCTGTTTCAGGCCAACTTCTCTACTTCTCCTGTGTGTCCTGCATGTTTCTCCCAGTGATTGATGTCTGTAGCCTGGCTTGTGTTGCCCATGATGGTGATGTGAGTGAAATCCTCAGTGCAGCAAAGGCTGCTGGCAGTGAGCAGGGACATCCTGCAGTGCTCCCCCAACACTGCAGTGAAGGAGGAGCTGGGACTCTCCAAACTCCAGCAGTGTTCTTGTAGAGGGACAGAAAAACTCCACAGTTTCTATTTTAGATGTGAAGTGAAAAAGGTCGTCAGAGCAATTGTTCCTCTATCTTTTTATTCCCATAACAGCATTTTCTGTTACTGGTTCTTACTGTGCTCTGCTGCAAGACAAATGCTGTTACATGAAGATTTAAAAATGGTGTATAGGATGTTTGTAGAGAATGGGGAAGGCTGCAGTATCTGTGACAGCTGTAGGTTTAGTTGTGGTGGGCTGAGGCATGGAGGCAATGTGCTATGGACAAGAATAGTGGGAGATGGGGTCTCTTTTCCTTCCTTCCCCCCCCATGTCAGCAATAGAGGTGTTTTGCTCACAGTGGAGGTGATTATATTGCTTACCAGGAGCTTAGTATTGCTTGCTTTAGCAGTTCATCTTACTGAGGGATATCTGCAAGGCCCCTGAGCAAGCTGTTTATGCAGATAGACTTCTTAGGTCAATACTTTTTTGGCATCGTATGTCTCACTTCTCAACCGGCCAGTCCCTTCTTGTGCTATACTCAGTGGTTTGTGTCCTGTCTATTGTTAAGGTCAGGCACAGAAATTTAGTGCCTTTAACTTCCCAAATCTTTTCCAAAAGATCCCCTCTTTCCTTCTTCCCTATTGTCTTACTCTTACACCAGACACACTGCTTTGGTGCCCAGCACACAGGGTCACTTTTATGGCAGGGGACATAATGCATTAGGGCTTTGCACAGGTTTTCATGGTCAACCTTTCTGTTCAGCTTGAACAATCAATCTCGGGGCTCCTGGAGGGTGGAAAGGTAATTATTTATGGTACTAGCAAATGGTATTCCTCAACATGAGAGAGATGTGATTTCCCTCTGGATTGTTCTTTTGCTTTCTGTTTTTTAGTTAACCTCAGTTCAGTCTGAGATTAGGGGATAAAACAGCTTTTTGGGACTACTTTTGCTGCTCTTTTTAAATTTTTTTTTAACTTTTCCAGCAAGGATAGCTCTTTGGTTATCTTTATGCATGTGGTGATGTAATCTCTCTTTGTTTTTTGTGTTTCCGTTGTCTAGGTGTGTTGTTGTGCTGTTCAACCCTAGAAAAAATAAGCAACACCATATTCTAAACAGCTCCAGGTGAGTAAAGTTTTAAGCTGGACTTGCTTTCTGTGAGGTGAATTCAAGACTTTTATGGCTTGACTGAAGTGCAGGAGCTGTTGTTGCTCCAGGCTAAATCCCCTTGGTTAGAGTTGCCTTGGGGACAGGCTTCCTGCAGGCTTTGACTCCAGCTCCTTCTCACATGAGGTGCTATTGCTGACAAAGTACCACCTCATAAACATTGGATCCCAAGAGGAACTGGTAATGGTCATGACATGGAGGGGATCTTACTACAGTTCCATGGTATCTGACTTTTTTTTTTCTCCACCTAAAATGATGACCTCATTATTGAAGCCAGCAGTGTGACATGGTCCTGCACCTGGAATAAAGGTGCAGCAATGAACCTCAACTTCTGGAGCTTTTCTGCTGCTGTAAGCTGCTGTTTGAGACTTGGGCAGCAGGGAATCCCCATGGCAAAGCAAAACCATTATGTCAGGCTATTATGGACGACTTCAGCATTTTTTTGAGTTCGTCCCAACCTACTCCCCAGTCATGATGTATTGAAATGAAATCACATGTTGGAAATGTTTCTCAGTGTTATTTTCTCTGTTTTAGGAAAACAATTACAGCACTTGCTTTCTCTCCAGATGGAAAATATTTGGTTACAGGAGAGGTAAGTGTGAGAGGAGAGAGGGTGCACCTTGTCTATCGCATTTTGAAGCAGGGCAGAGGGACTTAGAAGAAACAGGCTGTTTTCACACAAAGGAGTTCCAGTGTTGCCTCATTGTTCAGTGGACCTGCTGGCTTATGGGTGGCACTGGGTGCTCCAGCTGGGAGTTTTTTAACATGTCAGCTTTGGGGATGGATCTTCTGGGGTGTCATCTGTGGGCTGAAGGTAGAATGAAAATAAGCAAGAGGACACACAGCATCGTTCTACTCTAGCATCAATGAAGAGTACTTGGATGGTCCAGAATATTGGCCTGAGCTTAGCACTGTCCCTTCAGAATTTCAGGAAGTAACTGAAGCCAGAAACAATGTTGCAGGAAAAAAGAAAAGTGCACCTGGAGTGGAGTTTTAGGAATAGTCACAGAAGATGCTGGTGCCTGTGGTTTGGCATTGTTTGTTTGGCTGGGAGCAGCAATTGCTTTCTCTTTCCCGACATGCCCAAGGGGGAGAATAAGGATGACTATGCTGTGTGTCTGTTCTGCATTAGAAGCTCAAGACACATGCTGTGTCATGAGCCTGAAATTGCTGGATGTTAAAAATTTACAGAAATGCTGACCTTCATATGGTTGGACTTAGTTTGCTCTTGTATCTGATTAATGGCAGTTTACCACTAGTCCCTGTGCCTCTGTAAGAGATGGGGAGGGAGCATGTGTGAGACAGGTCCTCTCCTGAGCCTCAGCCACAGGGAGGAGAAGTGTGTCACTGTCCTGTGCTGGAGCTGTCAAGGTGGAGACTGTTCTATCCAGAAGTCCCTAGTGTGGTCACTGTGATGGCAGCTGTGATGTCCTCAGGTGGCTCCAATCCTGGACCTGAATCCTGGATGGATCAGACCAAGGGTAGAAACAACAGTGGGTTTTTTTGGATGGAGGCTACCATGACAGAGAAAAAGTTAGCATTAATTTTCCATCATAGATGTTGTGATTAGGGCTTTTTTGTGAAAACATGAGGTTTCATAGCTCATAGTATTCAGTTCTGATGATTCTGGTGCCTTCTTTTATTTTCCTTTTTTTTTAATTTCTGGTGCTCGATGCTTTTCATTAGGAGTAAGAAAAATGGTAAAAAATCAAGTGGGAACTTTTCTTACTAACAAACTTTTCTGTTTGAAAATTTATTGGGATAAATGGCAAATTAAAATTATTAAAAAAAAAGCTGTTCCAGTTATACTGGAATTTGTAGGGCTTTTGTTGTTATTCTTGTTGTTGTAGCAGGGTTTTTTTGGGATTTTGTGAGGGTTTTTTTGTTGGGTTTTTTTTCCCCTTGTTGCAAAACATGTCTCCTCTTGCCCTATTCTTAAACCATTTATTTTTTTCAGTATCCTCGCTCATGTCGGACATTTGAATTATTGCTTAGTGTAGCAGTGTCCCCTGCTGGTATCAGCAGTTGTCTTAGTTCATCCCCTGTCCCACAGGGAAATGCTTTCTGACTTCACTTTCTCAAGCTCCCTTGTAGCTGCATTATGCTAATTCTGCCTAATAACACCTTAGTTTTCTGTATGGCTGGCTTTTCAGGGAGGAGAGCATGGAGGTTAGTCCTTGGCTGCCATACATATTAAATGTCTTTTACATATTTCAAATTCATAAGAAAACTCTATTTTTTTCCTCTTTTTAATTATTATTTTTTATTTCTCCTCATGGAGATGTAGAGTCCATGGGGGTCACACAGAGCTGCCTTTTGGTGAGAATTTCTTAAAAGATGAAATGCAAATTCAGTTTGTTAAGGTCCTGGGGTGTATGCTAAGATGCTGGGAAATAGTTATATATATGTATGTGCTTAATTATAACAGTTGTTTTGAAGAGCAGCTGATTCAGCTCATTGTAATATCTTTCCAGCCACCTTGAGACCTGAGCTCTGCGTTGCAGGAGGGAGAGCTGTACCAACTGCAGTTAAATCTGACCATGGCATTTTTCCAGGCCACAAGCAGTTGCTTAGCAGAGCTTTTGAACAAGGCAATTAAAGCATGCACAATTTTAAACTTTAAAAGCTTCGACTTCTACTTGTGATGAGAGTTGCCTCTCCCACACAATCAAATGACTACCTTAAAACCAATCAAAAAGGTACCATTCTGCCATGTTGCCATGGATATGTTATCTTACAAGCTGCTGTTATGACAGACTTCAATGTGGAATCATGAGCAGTTACTTGAGTAAGATTTGCCCATCAAGCACATTTTTTAGCCAGCATTTCAGCTCATCTTGTGCGCCTTGTTTTAATTTGGTTTAATAACAAAAAATTAAACAAAAGAATAGATTTGTCTGGCAGAAAGTGCTGAATTGGCATTTCTGTTTCTCTGGAGAGCCAACATTAAAGCAGAGGCTCTGTTCCCGCCATGTCTTTTTCTCTGACATTACTCTGCCTGCACTCTTTTGGGTGGAACGTGTCTGTGCATTACCTTGTGACAGAAATGATGCTGCTAGCTTCTCAGAGGCTTCCCTCAGATGGTGTGTGAGAGTTCCCACAACAGCCATGTCATGGTTTTGTATGGCATGACCTGGTTTGATATCTCAGATGTCTGTGTTGTGTTAGGAGCAGAGGATGGGAGGGCTTTTCATTCACTGGGCCTAGGGATAACAATCTATTATAATCCTTTTCACAAGCAGGCTGTAAATTCCCATTACAAACACCAGGATTGTGCATCAAAATTATTGTTCTAGTCCCTGGCTAGAACAGTAGCATTTTGTGAGTAGCATAAGGAGAGGTTTAAAGCAGGAGGGGTGGTATTAATTTGCACAGCTGTTGAAATGCATATACTTCTTAGGTTGTTGGTCTCAACTTGGGCTTTAAAGAATCAGAGGAACTGCTAAACCTATTGTGAGTGCACCATGTAGGCATCTTTTTCCAAGCTCCTGCACATTTACATGCTTGAATGTGTCAGAACTGACTTTGGGGTTACCCTTCCTGTTCTGTGTCTGTTCCTGTCCCTTCCAGAGCGGACACATGCCAGCAGTTCGGGTGTGGGATGTGGCTGAGCGAACCCAGGTGGCAGAGCTCCAGGAGCACAAATATGGTGTGGCCTGTGTGGCCTTCTCCCCCAGCTCCAAGTACATTGTGTCTGTGGGGTACCAGCATGACATGATTGTCAACGTGTGGTCATGGAAGGTAAGTTTTCTAGGAGGCTGGGTGGACCACGCGGTGTTGCTAAATCAGAAAGAGCTTCTGGTCTGACTGTAAACTACTTCCATTTTCATCTTGCTTTCTGTTTTTTTAAAATTATGTAGTTATTGTTTGGCTTTTGACATTCATAGACACAGACAAATTTGGACAAGAGAGAAAGCTATGGTCCCTTAGGGAAGGTCTAAGTCATTTCCATGAAGGGATATTCCTTATGCTTGGGAATGTGTTACATTTTTCTGTCCAGCCAGAAAAGCCTGGACTTTGAAACCTTGCCAAACCATGGTGTTTTTTAGAGGCTTATTAAAAACTAATTTATGTGGTTAAGGAAGGAAACTCTCATCAGCCAGAGATTTCTTTTGTAGTGTAGTGGATACTCTTGGCTTGTTTTGATTTTTTTATGTCAGAGTTTGTGATACTCTGGTCCCATCCCTGATGGTTGAGAAGAGGAATATAGGGAATTCATAATGGGTGAAAGCTGATGAAAGTTGCTCTACCTGTCACTGGATTGAGGCAACTCTCGGTAGAAATAAAGCCTGTGTCTTATCCTCTAGTAAACATTTAAGCATTTGTTTTTTGTAGATAAGAAAACAAACATTTATTTTTAGTAGGCTAGGAATCTTTTGTATTAATAGATGTTCCTGCTACCTCTTCAAGTGCTGTAACCCTCTCTAAAAGAAATATCATTTAAGAAAAAAAAAAATCAATGCATCTGTTAAATCTCACAGGATCATAGAATCATAGAATGGTTTGGGTTGGAAGGGACCCTAAAAATTGCCTAGTTCCAATTCCTCTGCCATTGGGCAGGATTACCTCCCATTAGACCAAGTTGAAACCCCGTCACAGCCCTGTTCAATCTGGCCTTGAACATTTCTGGGGATGGGGCATCCTCAACTTCTCTGGGCAGGCTGCTCCAGTGCCTCACCACCTTCACAGTAAAGAATTTCTTCCCAATAGCTAATATAAATCTACCTTCTTTCAGTTTAAAACCATTACTGCTTGTCCTATCATTATACTTCCTGATGAAAAATCCCTCCCCATGTTTCCTGTAGGCCTCCTTTAGGTACTCAGAGCCTCCTCTTCTCTTGTAGCTTCTAAGCCCACACTCATTTAGTATGTTACTGTCTTCATCACATTTAGTCTAATTTAGTCTTCATCACATGTGCTGTAATTTAAGATCTCACTGTTATCTTCTGTGTGAGCTGAAGTTTGTCATTGCTATTTTTTCCTATAGCTAAATACTGTGTGTAGTGAGAGAACATAAGTGTGTTTGTCTGTGTTGCAAATTGAGTGCTCATTCTTTGGATTATTTCTAGTTATACAAATGAAAGTAGTGACTTGGACAGGGTCACAATGCATGGGAGATGTATCAAACAGTACAAGTAGTTTTGCTTTCCCTTGCTTATCTGGATTTTTCTGTTCACTGTATAATTGTGGGCATGAGAACTTCTGAGGTAAGAATTGTCTGACTCTTCCCTGCTGAAGAACACGCACTTTAAGCTTATGCTCCAGACTGGGAGGGGAGCTCTAGCTGGCCTTTACTTTGCAGGCTGGACACCAAAACTAGAGATACTTTACCTGACCAAAGTGAATAAAGACTGAGAATACAGGTCTCCTGAAGTGTTTTCCTTCACTTTTAACCACAACCCTTCTATCCTCTGTGCTGCTGCTTTTATTTCCCTATTTTTCCTGACTGGTAGACCTAGTCATTTGACTGTGATGGAAAAGAAAATCCATGTTGTCTGTAGGATTCCCTTGCTTCCCTAGATAAAGACCACAGCAATGATCCAGATGTTGAGGTCTGCAAGGGTCCTAAGCTTTTTCCTAAGCTTTTCTCTGTCCATTGTCTTGAAAGAAGTTATGATAATTGCTGCCTTTCCTTCATTCTGGGTTGGAGGATCCTCCATGGTGATGGTGCAGCAGGCTAGACTCCCCTTGTGCTGGTTTCTTCATTTCTGCCAGCAGTTTCTTCAATTCTCCCCACAGTCCTCTGGGGCCCTTGGAGTGATGTGGTTTGTGTGCTAGGGCATTGTGCCTGGAAGACTGGGAGCAGCTGAATCCCTGAAAAGAAGGGTAAAGGAAACACAGCAAGAATGAAAAGGGATGCACTGCTGTCAGCTGTGTGCTGCATGCTTGCAAATCCACAACAGACAAAGCAGAAAACTTGTTTATTCTCACTTCTAACTGGGGAAAAGCAGGGAGAGGAAAACTGAGCAATGGTGCTGTGTGATGTTGCTATCTGACCATTCTGCTTGAGCAGTGTCCATCCTGTTTTCTGTCCCTGCATCTTTTTCCTCCTTTCCCAAACATTGCCATTTTGAGGTGCACATTTGAGGTATAATAGATTTTGCTTTTTCACTTCCAGTACAGGGATGGTCTTTGTGTATTTTGAGTCTTTTGATAAAGTATAACGTGTTTCAAGAGAAAGAAGAATTCATGGAAGAACCAGTACAGTTTTCTCTGTGAAAAGTACCATTTCCTCATCTTGAGTGCAATGGCCTCATTGCTGCCTGGGGGCTGGGAGAGTTCTTCCTTGTGCTGACCTACATGTGCATTTGCTGTTTAGGAAGGGAAATGGGTTTGCTCTGAGCTTCTGGTGATTGTGAAACCCACATGTTTGTCATGGCTCACATACCAAGTTCCTGCAGGCACTACTACTGCCTGCTGATTTGTTCTTGATCATAGTTAATGTAGAATGTGAATATAAATTTGAATTTTTAATATAAATGTGAATTAAAATAAATATGAATATAATAATATTAATTTGATATAAATGTGAATTATACTATCTGCCAAATCAATGTTCCCAGCTAATGCTGGGAATAGTTTGGGTTTCATCTTTTTCCTGCTGCACTGTTTGTACTGGATATGTGCCTGTAATTGAAATTAGTTTCCTTTGCTTCTGAGCAAAGAAATTAAGCAATGTAAACAATTGTGTTTCCAGAAAAACATCGTAGTGGCAGCCAACAAAGTCTCAAGTAAGGTGACAGCAGTGTCATTCTCTGAGGACTGCAGTTACTTTGTCACTGCTGGAAATCGACATATCAAGTTCTGGTACCTGGATGACAGCAAAACCTCCAAGGTGAGAGAGAGTGCATCAAGGCCAGCCTCTAAACAGGCATTTCTGTCTTAAAGCAGGGTGGATTTTGCCCTAGTGAGCTGTGCGAAGTGGGAAATGTTTTATTTTTCTGGGATGCAAGGAGAGCCTTCCACACCTGGCTCTCAAGTGTCATGGGCTGATAGCACCAAAAGCTTGTCTTGCACTGATGTAGGGATGTCACTCATGGAGTTGCATAGCAGCATGCTTGTTCTTTAGCAGTCACATATACTGAAGAACAAATAAGCTAGAAAAGAGCTGCAGTAATTTAACTCCTTGGAGCACAGAGGTGGGGAGAGCTCTTTGACATTGGTATGAGCATCTCAAAAGGTTGTGAGTATAATTTTGAAGCATCAGCCAAAGTGTTTAACAGTTTTAGCTGTTGTGTTATTCTCTGGGAGGCAGAATCCACCTATGGTGATTTTTCTGTGTTCTCATGAACAGTTGTAAACATGAACAGCAAGTAAAAGCTCTCCTTGTACGCTATTTACAGTTTTTTCTTTGAATCGCTTCAGCACTCAGGGGTTGATGGTCTAAAAAATCACTGTCTGCCTGAAGTGCCTTGCTGTATTTGTAGCAAACTGTTTTCTGTTGCTAGGTCAATGCCACTGTCCCCTTGCTGGGTCGCTCGGGATTGCTTGGAGAACTGAGGAACAACTTCTTTGCGGACGTAGCTTGTGGAAGGGGCAAAAAAGCTGACAGCACTTTCTGTATCACATCCTCAGGCCTGCTCTGTGAATTCAATGAAAAAAGGCTGCTAGACAAGTGGGTGGAGCTGAGGGTGAGTTTTACATCCTCCTATTCTGCTCAAGCAGAGCAGGAAGAGCAAATAAGGGCACTCAGAGGTACAAGCTGACCACAAGCAGTGAAAATAATTGTGCTTCTGCAACCCTGTGATTTACCCTGGAAGGCTGGGCAAGAATAGTGTTATTTCTTGTCAAAGGGATTTTACTGATTGTTGAGCCTCTTTCATTCTCACACCCCAGCATTACAGGGACTGCTCTTCTGGCAAAGCAATGTCCTTATGGCAACTCTTGTATGGTCCCTCCTGGCTTGGCTGGGGCAAGTAGGAATTTTAGAAGGATTCTGGTTTCTATCCTCTCTGCAATGTCTTACTTGGCTTGTGCATCTCAAATGCAGGTTCCCAAGGTGCTAGTTGATTTGTCTATTCTAAACCACCAGGCCTACCCATAGTTAAGAATTTGATCACACTTGTTTTCCTTTCAATTGAATGTAACGTGCCCACCTACAAGGATCCTGTGTATTAAAATCAAGGGAAAAAGTCTGTCCACACTTTCACTCAAGTGAAATGGCTCTTCTTTTCTTTCCTTTCCTTTCCTCTCTAAAATCTGCCTTTCACTCTCGCTCAGAATACAGACAGCTTCACAGTAAGTTGAAAAAACTTTTTGCATTGAACTCATCCCCTTTTCACCACATTCCATTTTGTGCCATTTTCTGCCATTTGTACAGATCCCAAAGGGAGGGGAAGAAAATCCATTTTGTTCTGTTTCTTATCCCCTCCTGACAGGTAATGTGTTGGTGTGCTAGTACAGGGTGAAGTGCTGCTTGCCTGCCAGTGTTGTTGAATGTCACAGAAATAAAAGCAGTGTTCAGAGTAGGACTCAGCTGGAGCAAATGTGTAGCTCTGCTGGCTTCCCATCATAGTGGGTGGCAGAGAAACTGGGCTTTTTTCTAACTGCTTGGGATCTGCAGTGGACCTTGGCTGGAAAGTTCTTCAGAAAGGAAAGATGGATTTTTAGGCTTTTCCTTCTCCCAGGGCTCGACTTCACTGCAGCTCTTCTGACCATGACTCCTTTGTCTGTCAATTCGCTGTTCTCCCTGATGTGTGTCTGGTGACCTTTGACGTGAGAGCACATTTCTCATTTGCTGTCTCTTGTGCTGTGTCCTCCTCAGACCACTGTGGCAAACTGCATCTCTGTGAATCATGACTACATCTTCTGCGGCTGTGCTGACGGCACCGTGCGGATTTTTAACCCTCTAAACCTTCACTTTGTCACTACTCTGCCGAAGCCACACTTCCTGGGAACTGACATCGCAAGTGTGACTGAGGCCAGGTACTGTGGAGAAGGATGGAAGGGAGCAAGGGAAGCTTGTGGGGGTTAGAACTATTCCTCAGACCTTTGCCATCTGGAGCATGCTCTTTTTATGGATTAAAGTTGGCAGTCTGTTGCAGAACTCTCTGAGCTGTTGCAGGCTTGCCCTGTATGACTGGACTACAGTTGGATGGCAAGGAGAGACTTTTGCCATGGGACTTTGAGGCTTCTTTTGGGACTTTGGTTGTTCAAGAGATAGGTCTTCCTGGCCAACAAGTTAACCAGGCTGTTGTTCTCTCTTTGTGCAGCCGTCTTTTCTCTGGTGTGGCTGATGCGAAGTATCCTGACACCATTGCCTTGACCTTTGACCCCACCAACCAGTGGCTTTCCTGTGTATACAATGACCACAGCCTGTATGTGTGGGATGTCAAAGATCCGAAGAAAGTGGGCAAGGTGTACTCTGCTTTGTATCACTCTTCCTGTGTGTGGAACATTGAGGTACGTTGTTTGCAGACACAGGGGTAGGGTTGTGAGTTGCAGTTGAGAAAGTCATCAGATGAGCTGCCAAATTTGAATGCAAATGCTGACTGTAGAGGGAATTGACTCAGTTTTTCACCTGTGGTTAGTGCATTTGCTACTGGGTCTGGGAACAGGTTTTGGCTGCACTGCAGTGGCTGACCGAATGTGTGGTGCTACTGGGAAAGAAAAATCTCACCATTAAAAGGTGAGAGGTGGGAGAGGAAGCAGAATTAAACAAACCTGAATACAGAGCATCCTTTTAGAAAACGCACAAGAGTTTATTGCTGACCTCAAAAAAACTGCTTGAGATCTGTGGTGAGTAATTGCTTCTAAGTCAAAAATATGAAATAGTGATAAAATAGTGAACTCTGGTCCTTCTTAACATATTTACCTGAACATGTGGAAATAGCCTCTCAAGTGTCTGTCATCTTGCAGTCTATCAAGTTGGTTTTCCCTCAGAGAGAAGGAAAGGAAGTATAGGAAACAATGGAGTTGTTAATATGTTGAAATATGTCTAACACTGGTTAGGAGAGGGGAAAGTGGAATGAAAGTTGGAAGAGGTTGAGAACTCTTTATTTATTAATTGCATCTCACCCTTTCCTTCTGAATTATAAACTGACAGTAGTAGATGAAAGCTGCAAACAACAGTGCAAGGTGGTTATTGCATGATCATTGTTTGGGATTTGAGGTGCTCTCTTTGAACTATTAGAAACAAAAGATACTGGTTTGTTGCATGCTTCTTAAGGAGGTTTTCTGTGACGAGGGAAGCTCAGTGAACATTTGTTTGAAGTCAGTCTGAAGCTCTGGTCGGCAAATAGGTTTTTGTCAGAACTGTCTGGCTTTCACCTTTAGAAAACAGAGAGGACACCCCCTTTGTCTCATTTTGTTTTGAAACTTGCTACCAGTGTCTAGGGTGCCAGATGCCAGGCAATATTATTCAGGCATTGATTTTACTTGCCCTTAGATGTATCCAGAGGTGAAGGACAACAATCAGCCCTGCCTCCCCCCTGGTTCCTTCATCACCTGCTCTTCTGACAACACCATTCGTCTGTGGAACACTGAAAGCTCCAACATCCATGGCACAGCCCTGCACCGCAACATCCTCAGCAATGTAAGATCCTAGGTTTGGATCACCTCCTTGTCCTTGGGGTTGCTCTTCTTCACACACAGATTGCCAAGTTAAGGCCTAAATTTTTTTGTATCTCCAAGTCAACCTAGGTTTCTGTAAACTGAGCACAAATCTAGTTAAATGTATGAACCTGAAGAAACACAAAAGGAGTACTGGGCAGAAGGACAGGTTGTCTGAAATAGTTCTGGGGATTATTGCTGTTTTCATAAACCACCCAAAGATTCATCAAGCTTAGTCTTTTCCATAAGGGCCATATGTTTCAGGAGAGCTGGTTCCCTTTTTCTGCATCTCTGTGATGTGTAACCACTTATAAGATTTGTTTGGAAAAGGTGCATTAAATGAAGCAGAGGTTTGGGAAATTGAATGTAAAAGTTTGCACTCACTTAATCTATATAAGAGGGAGGCTAATCATACAGAGCAGTGATTACATATGGACATTAGCTTCTGTTCTCATCTGAGTTGGAAGATCTCTGAACACAGCAGCCCTGACCTCAGGAATCAGGTGGAAAAAATTGTTTTTTCTGTCAGTACTGAGACTGCTGACTTAGATAATCACTAGAAGTCTTTCCTACTCCTGCTGTGTGCCCTAATATGTTGTAATCACTAATCCCAGAGCTTGTCAGTAGCAAAAGAGATGCTGCTAGTTTCTAGCTTGAATCTTTTGAAAGGGGTGATTGTGAGACACAACTGTGAAACTTTCATCCTACAAACTGTAGGGGCTTAGTGCTTGCTCCTAACTAAAAGGTCATACCAATTACAGCATCGTTGCCAATAAAATGTTTATGTTGGCTAGGAGCTCAATTTCTAAGGCAGATGCTTTGCTTTAATATTTTGTAACTAGTAAATATTTCTGGGTGTATTGTGTCCCCAGGACTTGATGAAAATCATCTATGTAGATGACAACACTCAGGTACTTCTGGACACTGATTACAACTCAGCAGGAAGTGCAGACAAAGCTGATGCACAAGTGCTGGATACGAAGGTGGGGATACGCACTGTCTGTGTGAGTCCCAGCGGGGAGCACCTGGCCTCAGGGGACAGGATAGGCACTCTCAGGTAATCCCATAAAGCTTCTAATGCAGATTGCAGACTGGTCAGGCATGAGAAAATAACCAGGTCTTGCTAATTTTATTAAACATACTGAAATGAGCCATGTTATATCCTAGAATATATGAGTTGCAGTCTCTGAAGGAAATGCTGAAGGTAGAAGCCCATGACTCAGAGATCCTATGTCTGGAATACTCCAAACCTGACACAGGTAAATGCAATTGAGCTTCCTCCCCTTTGCCTATGAATGTAATGTTGAGCAAGTCAAAATGTCCAACTATGGTATGTTAGAATTGTCATGCTGAACTACTCATGGATTTCAAATGAGGCTTCAGGTATTGGGCTAGTAGAGCCAGGCTTTGAAAAAGTCTTCCTTCTCTTACTTTTTATTAGAATATTGTATGTTGAGATTGCAGCTTGTTCTGTTTATTATTGTAATGCAAAATTCAGGTGTGTTGCTTTGTGTCCATATATGCAGTTAGCTGCAGTATAATGTTTTGTCTCCAAGAAGACTTGGGAAGCTGTTTTAAAAATGACTTTTTAAGTCATGATCTTGCAGTCTTTTTCAATTTCTAACAGGTTTAAAGCTCTTAGCCTCAGCCAGTCGGGATAGATTGATTCATGTCTTGGATGCTGGGAAGGACTATAGCCTGCAGCAAACCCTGGATGAACATTCTTCTTCCATTACTGCAGTGAAATTTGCAGGTAGCAAATCATGGCCTCCTACCAAAGCTGGATTTGAGCACTGCTATTGTCCCCTTATGGCTGTAATTTTATCTGCTTTTATCTACTGGACTAGGTCAATTTGAAGCTGCAGCTGGGTCATCTTTTGGTCATCTTTTTCAGTTGTAGTCTTAAAAGAAGGTGATACTTGCCTTCTTTTCTGGTTTTGCTTTAATTTTCTCTCCTTCCTCCCTCCTAAGAGAACCTTTCCTCATAATTTCTTTGGAAAACTGTTTTCTGTAATGATTTATTCCCACTAACTAATTTCAGAGAGAACTAATTTAGGAGAACTCTGAACAGTCATTGTTCAAAATAAAATCACACAAAACACACACAGAAAAATAGGTTTTGGATAAAGTAAATTTGTGATTGTAATCCACTGTAAGGCTTTGCATTCCTGGTAATGGAGCACATTTTATCCCTAGCACTCAGTTGCTGCCAATGGTCAGACACCAGTCAGAGCAGCAAGAGCTGGCTGCTCTGTCAGGGAAAGGCAGTAGCCAGGGGGGACAGGAAAGCAGGTAAAGGTAGTGGCCTTTTCCACTGGCTGTGGGAAAGTACCACAGGACATGAGCAGGAGCAGATCAAGTCTAGATACAGCCAGTAGTCCAGATCACCAGGCAAATCCATAGTGATAAGACCGTGGATTCAAGCAATTCAAGGTCTTCATCAGTCTGGAGTGGTCAGGGTCAAGCTATAGTTCAGTGCCTGCCAGGCAAGTCCATAGTAGCAAGGCAAGATGGAGTTCAGATCAGGAAGGTGAATCCATGGATTGGGTCAGGCTTTGGCTCAGTGGGGGTGCATGTCCAGGCACATGTGTGGCTGCAATGCTGCTGCAGTGTTGCTCAGTTGGGACTCAAGGATGAGAACTCAGCTTGAAAACCACTCCCAGGTGAAGGGACTCACTGAAGCAGGGGCTCCCCAAAGCAACTGTGTGGCTTTTTCAAGTTTTTTTTTCTGGAGGATCTCCAAGTCCAGCAGCAGTTTCTCTGACAGATCTGCCTTATCAGTGAGCTGGCCTTGAATGCAACAAGCTGAACTCCCAGGAGATGAGGGAAGTGGGCTCAAGGCCTGGCAACTAAGGCCTTTATGCTCGTCTATGAGCCAAGTGCTGGCATGCTCTAAGTGGGTGCAGTTCAAGGACTTGTGTGGTGTTGGATGCATTGTCATTACTTGGAGTTTTATTGGGTGTTGCTTTGCTGAAGGAGCTGCTTGGTTATGGAAGAGTCCTAAGGGAAGAAGGGAAGCCTGACCCTGCAGTAAGAAAGGGCAGCAAGAAAGATGTGTCCAGCTCTAAGGTCTGAAAAGTGCCTATTGCCTGTTTTCAGCTTCTACTGTCAATGTGCCATGTTGCCAGAGTGCTGTGGCACACAGAGATATGAGCATATTGGTGAGGGAGAAGACAGAATTGCATCCTAATCTGTTCTGAAAAGCCTCTGTGTTGGAGCCTCATGCTCTCTGAGCATGAAAGACAAGTGCTGTCCCTGAGAAGGGGCTTCTGTTTTGCTGCTTGGGGAGGGGTCAGTCTTAACTAATCAGGACTGGAATAAATGAGCAGTGGTATAAATTGAAACATTTCCTCCACCTTGTATATGTGTTTATCTTTTGTCTCCTGCCTTTTTATTCCAGCCAACGATGGGAAAGTGCGGATGATAAGCTGTGGGGCAGACAAGAGCATCTATTTCCGCACTGCGCAGAAGGTAACCTTATCACAGCTTTTTGTACACTTCTAATTTATAACCTCTCCACAAAGGAGTTACTTCAAAGAATGATATCAGAGTTTCTGTATGAGCTTGTTGCTATTTCAGCCTCAGTGCCTCTCACTGACTCGATGGAAGAGATTGCATTCAGACAAATAGTTTTGTGAAGCATGCAGCTACTCCCAGCCTGACCTCTCACAGCAGAAATAGAGACCTGTTAGGATATCTGCTTTTCCTTCACTGTCAGAGCTATTGTGAAAACTAGTGAAAGAGTATGGGCTGGAGGGAAGAGTTTCTTGTGCCTCCAGTCCCAGCTGCTCCCAGCAGCCCCCTGGGAAGGATTGTTTTGTGCTGGCTGTGTGAGAAGACTCATCTGTATTAACTTGCTTTTAATAATGGATTAACAACTTGATTTTGACAAAGTTGTTACCCATATGTTTAGACAGGAGAAGGAGTCCAGTTTACCCGAACACATCACATTGTTAGAAAGACCACACTTTATGACATGGATGTGGACCCCAGCTGGAAATATGCAGCTATTGGATGCCAGGATCGTAACATCAGGTTAGTTTCCTTCTCAACTTGAAAATATTTTTTCCAGTCATAAATGAAGCAGCCCCATGTCCATCATTATTCCTCTAAGTTCTTTGATACAGCATTTTCAGACAGATCTGAGGCACTGTGAGGCTGAACTCTGCCTTTCCTCTCACTGATAAAGAGCTGTGTATGTGTGCAATTCCCATGGGACTTGTGGCTTCTCACTGGGTTGCTCTGCGGAGCAAAGGCTTTCTACTGAGGGAGCAAGTGTGCCTTCCTTGGCACATCATTGAATTGTGGGGCAAAAACTTCTGCACTGTGGTAATTTTTGGTTTTGAAGGTACTTAGTTAACAGCTGTGGGGTCCTGTGGAATACCTGGGACTGTGGGAACCTAAAACGGAAATAGATGTGACTGTCATTGAACAAGTGGAGCCCAGTCTCTATTTCTATCCATTTCTCCAATCTGTCTGCTTGAAAGCAAAGGAGTCTCTCTGTAGTTGTGTCTCTCCTTGTATTGTAGCTGTGTGAGATGTTAAGAGTTTTGGTGATAGCTAAATATCACTACTGGATGTAACAGCTAAATATCACTACTGGATGTAATTTGTTTTAGCATAAAGTGTCTTGCTCTCTTAATCCTTTGCTCTAGTATGAAGGAGCCCAGGTATTTTTACAGCAGTGAGGACTGATTGTTTATTGGCTTGAGAATAAAGCCTTGATTTTAATTCAGATAATCTGCCTTTGCATTACTTTTGGGGTTATTTCTTGAACCATTTAAATGACTGGTGATAATATTTCATGGAGATAATTTCTCCACTTCCTGTAGTTTGGCCCTGTTTTCTGTATTTTATATGGAATGAGGAACAGGGAGAGAAAAGGATCCTGGTGACAGCAGCCCCAGAGTAGTACCTGGGCACAATGAGCCATGTTATCTTATGTCATCCCCTCAGGGTTTTCAACATAAGCAGTGGGAAGCAGAAGAAGCTTTACAAGGGATCCCAAGGTGAAGACGGCACCCTTATCAAAGTAAGCTGTTTTCCTTCCTTTTTCAATTTTCAGCTTTTCTGAATGCAGCTCAGGGACAGGAAAATGAAATACAAATCTGAGTACAGTAATTTCTTTTTTCTTTTTCTTTCTTTTTTTTTTTCTTGCTCCATACTTTGTCCTTTACCCTGCTGCTGTTTCCTCCTACTTCCACCTTTAAGGGCTGGTAATATATTTGGGTTTCATCAGGCTAAAACAGGAAGAGAGTCAATGAATGCTGAAGTTGATCTTTGATTTTTCTCTCTGTCCTGTTTCTGAAGTGAGTCACAGGACCGTGCTGTAAAAACAAGTAGAACTGCACCAATATCTGTCAGGAGATGATTTAATCCACTTAATTTAATCCTTTGCTTTCTGCTCCAGAGAGCTCATTCTGGTTTTCTTGACTGGTTTTGTTAGGATTTTTGAAGGGGAAATACCTGTTGATCAGTGTTTGTGAAGTGGATTTCAGAGGGCAAATACAAGGGAAACTGAGTTGATAAAATAAAATAGTATTGGGCCTGAAAAGCCTGGGTCTTGGAGTTCTGGACAAGCATGGTACTGTTTAGGGAGAGTCTGTTCAAGTTTCCCTCTGCGGAGTGCATCCAGACCTTGGGCCAGGGTAGCACACCTGCTTCTGCCACTCTGCAGGGCTTACCTTGGTAAATCAGGTGTGTTTGAGATTCACAGTGGAGTGGAAGAACTGCATTCTTGTCTATAAAGGGGAAAAGCCAAATGACAAAATTAAAATATCTCTAAAGTTGCCAAACAAGCTTCTTCATTATATTTTTTTTCACTGATAATTTTCTACTGCTGCACAGGTCAGCAGTATTATTTATTATTAGGGACTGGAAGGAATGTCCTATGAGGAGCAGCTGGAGGATTTAGGGCTTATCTAGTTTGGAGAGGAAGAGGCTGAAGGGTGACTGCATTGCTCTCTACAGCTTCCTGAGGAAAGGACACACAGGGGGAGGTGCTGAGTGCTTCTCCCTGGGATCTAGTGACAGGATATATGGGAATGGTTCAAAGCTGCACCAGGGACATTAGGAGGAAGTATTTCTTTACTGAGAGTGTGGTCAAACACTGGAACAGGAGTCCTGGAGAGGTGGTCAATACTCCAAGCCTGACAGTGTTGAAGATGCATTTGATCAATGCATTTAATAACAAACTTTAAACATGTGGCCCTTATGGGGGAGACTAAGCTTGATGAATCTTTGGTCAACTCTGAATTGGTCAGGCAGGAGTAGATGATATTTGTAGCTCCCTTCTAGGTGAAACTATTGATAGGTGTAAATAACTGGGTAAAAAGGGAAGGGGGAAACTAAGTTTTGTTCAGTGTCAGCTCTTCTGTTTTACAGAGGAAGATCTTTCTCTTTGCCTATTATAATTCCCACAAATTTTTTGTAAGCCAGAGCAAAGAAAGTGAAAAACTGATGCTACACTTTAAACTGCTGATAAGCTTAGGTGCTTGATTAGATTTTTCTCAGACAAAAAACCATGAAATGTTCTGGGAGCTGAATTTTTTGTTTTTAATATCCTTTATGTTTTTTGTGGGTTTTTCTTTTAATGTGTATCTTAAGTGGGGAATCTCAATTACTTTTACTGTTGCTTTGCTCATTTTTAAGACAATTATGTAACCAAGGGATTATGGTTGTTTCTGGAATTTAAACTTTCTTGGCATGTAATTCTGAGATCGTTATACACATTGCAGTTTAATGAGCAGAACTCAAACAGTGACACTGGAAGCAAACATCAACAAAATAAGCATAACAAACCACAAGAGCCTTAACAAGAGCCATAACAAACAAAAAGACTTACCATTATTTAATTACCATGTCTCCTTTGAAAAACACAGTTTATCCTCTCAGTTCCTTGAAATTCTCTAAATCGGTGACAGTAACTGTATTTGCTGTGTAGTGCTGCTTTAGACGTGGTGAGGCATTTGCAAGGGATTTTATATTTGATCCAAGATAAAGCAACAAATAGGTGCACATGAAGAAGCAAACAACAAACAAAATAGCTGAAAAATGGGAGTTGCAAATACTGCAGATGTGACAGCATCATTATCAAAGTCAGTTTCTTGGCAGCGTTGAGTTCTTTTTTGCTTTCACTCCTGAAGACTCGAATCCTTTAATATTTCCCTTAACTCTATCAGCTCTGATGTTTTTTATTTTTTTTATGGTGTATGTGTTTTGGGGTGGGAGTTTCTTGTTGTTTTGTTTTGATCTTAACATAGAAGAAAGTAAGACCCCAATGGTTAAAAGAAAGTAGGAGAGAAGTAGAAATTTGTCCATTGGTGGCAATACTTTCACAGTCATGAAGGCATTTAAGTGCCTTCAGTCTCTGATTAGGTTGGAGATAGTCTTAAAAGTCTGGTCAGGTTGGAGATTTTTCCTGGGATACTGGATAGGCTAGTACTCAACTGGACTCCTGTGGGGGCTACTTGCATTTTAGTCTGACTGTCTTGGGTATTCTGCACTATTTTTATGCAGTTTGAAGGTAGCTTCTCACCAGATCTTTGCATTCCTCTGGTCTCCTAAACCAGGTGCAAACAGATCCTTCTGGTCTTTATATTGCAACCAGTTGTTCTGACAAGAACCTCTCCATCTTTGATTTCTATTCTGGCGAGTGTGTTGCAACCATGTATGGACACTCAGGTAAGGTTTATAAACTTCTGGAAATATTTTTTTCTGCTGATGACTATATAGTAGGGTCTGATACTAGTCAAAGCTTTCTGAAGATTTCTCCCCACCAAAGTTTACCTAATGGGTATTTTTGAATAGATTGTAGTTGGATGAAGTTGTAATATTTTATTGCAAGTTCAATTTTTGCATTTTGCACACAAGCACACACACACCTGTCAAGTCATGTATTTATCTACACAGTTTTTCTAATAGCCTATAAAGTAGTCTGTGGGGTTTTTTTTCAGTGTATATTTAGTTTCATTATGATATGCCCTCAGCTCCTACCATGCAGGAGCTCTTCTATTATAGGCAAAAAGAGAATTCAGTCTTCATGTATATTTTGCTATGGAGTACCTCTTCCAGGTCAAGCCTAGATTCTTGGTTAAATGGTTATGGTAATTGGGGCATATTGATCTGTGAAGTGTGAATTACTGAGTGCAGACAGGCTATTTGGCTAATTATGTCTTCTGTCCATTTGAATAATTCAGGGAAGATATTTTTTTGTGCTTTATTTCTCACAGAGATTGTAACTGGGATGAAATTCAGTAACGACTGCAAACATCTGATCTCTGTTTCTGGTGACAGGTAAGAGGTTTTGCTCATTTGTGGTACTGGCTTATGCCATTTCATACTAGATGTAACATGTCCTTAGGAAAGGTAGATTTTTTTTTTCAGAGGTGTTTTATGAATTCCAAATAAATCTCAGAGCTTTCTGAATCCTGAATGTGTGCTGTTGGCAAAGCTCACAGACCTTATGCTATCATTTCATGGAATGGGAGCCATGTGAAGTATTTCCCTTTTCTGGGAGTAAATACTGTGCTGGAGACAGACATGTGACCTGTTTCCTGACCAGCCTTCAGGCCTGTAATAAAAGGCATCTTGGGCTATTTCTGCTAGTAGTGCCAAAACTTTTTCTTGCACTACTCCTGTTGATGAGGTTTCACCAGGTGTAAGAGTCTGTTTAGCAGCAAAAGGGACAGACCTGTCCTCACTTTTTGGTCCTGTCCATAGGGTCCTTTTCCCACTCCCCTGAGTCAGCAGTGGTGCAGCTGACCCCTCATTCAGCTAAATCAGGTCACTACATCAGTACTCCCCTAAGATGAGTTTTCTGTACATTTAGTGAGCTAAATCAGTTCACTAAAAGCTTAAGTAGTCACCAGACTGAGCCCAAGGAAAAAGGGAGAATACATGCCTAATATGATGGTTGTACAGGTGAGTGGAGCCACTATTTCTGGAATCAGTGAATGCTTAAATTCAGCTGAACTGAATAAAATTTTTCCTATGAGAAAGATAGCTCCTGGAGTGCTATTGCAAGTTCAGAGCAACCCAGATTCTCTGTCTCTTTTTTTTTCAAATTAATAAATCACAATTGAATTGAAAGAGTGTTTTAGAGGATGAGTTGCTATAGAACATACAATATATCATATCTCATCACAGAATCACAGAATAATGAGGTTGGAAGAGACATCTAAGATCATCGAGTCCAACCTATGCCCTAACACCTCAACTAGACTATAGCACCAAGTGCCATGTCCAGTCTTTTGTTAAACACATTCAGAGATGGTGATTCTACCAGCTCCCTGGGAAGAGCATTCCAGTACTTTATTATTCTTTTGGTGAAAAACTTTTTCCTAATATCCAACCTATACCTTCCCTGACATAGCTTGTGTCCTCTTGTTCTGTCAGTTGCTGCCCGGTGGAAGAGACTGACCCCCACCTGTCTACAACCTCTCTTCAGTTGGTTGTTTCTGTCTTTCAGTAATAAATAAATAATTTAGTTTTCCTCTTTCGTGTGTTTAAATAGATTAGGGACAAAAGTTGTAAGAGAGAGAGTCCTTTTGTTGTGAACTTCTGACATATTCCAGAAACGTGGAAGGTTTGAAGTCCCCAGTGATCCTTGTGATTTACTGCAACATTCTTTTATTGACATTTTCATGAGAAAAAGGGTCATTTTCTTCATTGAGAGTATGAAGGAGGTGGATGAGAAATGAGGAAAGGATTCCTGAAGAAGATTGCTGTGAGGATATGAGAAAGCATCTTTTTCAAAGGAGAGCAGGGAACATAGTCTGTTCACACATAGCAACATGTGCAAAGAGTAGAGCTGAGAATAGAGAGAAAAACAGGGATGAGAAAGGGCACAAGGACTGTGAGATTCATGTGAGGCAAGTAATGCAAGGTAAGAAAAAACAAAGCAGAATCCCCACCCCAACTCCAGCAAAAGGGGTAGGTGGGTGCTTGCTTTGGCAGAGTTTGTGTTGGATGCTAATGTATTCACAGGCTTGGGCTGTTTGCTGCTTATCTCTAGGTTTGATAACTGCAGGGGTGGGATAATGAACAAGCCAAATTTGCTTTTAGAGTTTTGTTTCCTCTGTTTCAGTATTTTTTCAGCAGCAGATTATGGTTGCTGTTACTTGGAGAGAGCTGCTCCTTGAGAGGAAGCAGCTGGCTGTCTTGGGTTGCCATGGTTCCCAGACACAGTGCCTCACCCCTTTCTCCTGATTGAAAAGCTCCAGTGGGAGGATGAGAGTGTGTTCACTGGCAATGCAGTGTCTGTATGTGATTTCAGTAGCTGGGAGTGATGCTCCTGAGCGTGGCACTGGGGACAAGAAGGGAATTTTTAGTTTTGCCTTAAAATCTCCACAGACTGCAAAGATGCTATTATGGGGTTTTTTTGGTGTGATATGGAAATTTAAACCTTTTAAATTGTTTTTTCATGAGAGAGAAAAAATGAAGATTCAGGTATTCAGGATCCTGACACTTTTGACATTTGCCTCAGGTCAGGGAGACCAAAGTTCATGGTCATTGCTCAAAATAGCAAAGCAAATTAATGTTTACATGCTAAGAAGAAAGATGGAAAAGCCAGTCCTTAAAAAATCTTCTGTGTATTGGACTACCCATGAATATACTTGCACTGATGGGTCTTGAAGAACTGAATTAAATCCTCTTTGGATTCCAAAGTAGGATGCAAGATTTTATAAGTGATAGCCAAAGCACCATCTCTGTTTCTACATCAGTGTAGGTATACCCAGCTAGACAGGAAAGATGACTGAGATGAAAAGAATTAGTTAGCACTGAGGTTAAATTTCAAAGACAGTGCTGGTCATTTTACTTTCTAATAGCTGAAGATGAGATACAGTATTCTTTAATGTGATGAGGAATATTTATTTAAACTGAATTTCTGATGAAATTATTGAAATGAGACCGCATTGTTGGTTTCTTTCTCTCTTGAGTTCACTGACCAAATTCAGTCAAATGTCACAGAATACTTCACAGAACATTCTGAATTGGAAGGGGCCTACAAGGATCATCAAATCCAGTTTTGAAATGAGTGGCCCATGCAGGAATTGAACCCATGGCCTTGGTGTGTATTAGCACTGTGCTCTGACCAGCTGAGCTAATGGCTATGTAAATTCTGTGCAAGTGTCCCTACTCACTGTAGGGAGTCCCAAGTTAAATATTAGAAGCACCCTGCTGCAAAAAGTACTCCCACATGAGCTTAACTGTTAGTACTGCACAGAGACTCCATGGGATGGTGGGCTTTAGGAAGGCCTTGCCTTTGAGGGTAGGGGCAGTCAGAGACTTCAGCTTAGCCACTGTTAGAGGATGCAAGGGACGTCTGTAGGCTCCGCTTATCCTGCTGACCATGGAGTGACTTGTTAGAGCATTTCCTTCAGCAGCTGGCCAGACAGTCAAAAAAGGTATAGGATCAGAGATGAGTCTGTGTAAATATCTCTGCAGTTGCTCTCGCTCACAGGGAGGCTTTGACAGGCAGGTTTAACCCTTTCATCATGAGGCTTGTGATGGGATTGAGTTTCTGTGAAGCTGTTTCTGCGTGTGCCTCTGCCACAGACAGAAGGGCTCTTGTTTGTCTCTGCAGTAGGAATTATAGGAATTAGTATCAATAAACTGAACTGAGACTTGATTCCAGTCTCGCCTTTCTCTCTTTCAGCTGCATCTTCATCTGGCGTCTGAGCTCAGAGATGACCATCAACATGCGGCAGCGACTGTCAGACATGAAACAGAGAGGGAAGCAGGCAGAGAAGTCTCCTCCTCACAAGGCAGCTGGACTCATGAGGTGAGCAGAGCAGACTGAGAACAGGTGGCTGGCTGTGTAGGGTGGAATGTGAAAGTGTGGCACTGGGATTCAACTGTAAGGTTTTTGCTGTCTTCACTGATAGTGTTCTTCCAAAAGTTCTCTTATTTCTCTTTTGAATTTGGTTTTGTGCCCCCCTCCTTTGGATATAGAAACCAGACTGGCATCTTCCAGACAAACTTAGTGTGCTTCACTGATTGCAATATGTATGCAATGCCTCTTGTATCTTAATTTAGTTTAATGATGTGGTCAGAAACTTTATTAAGCAGTTCACCTAGGAATACTGAGGATGGTACACAGAATTCCAGCAGGGAAGCTGTGATCCTTCATGAGTAAAGTTCTTTAGATCTAAGCTGAATGCAACTTGAAGGCTGTTTTCTGTGGTGTCAGTACTGAAGTATACCTGTGAGCTCTATGAGCTGACTATGTTGATCATAATTCTAAAAAAGTCCTTACACTTTTGCTGTTTCTTTGTTAACTATTTTCTGGAGGCTGTGAAAAACTCAGCTAAAATAATTATAATATGACTAATAAATACAAAAATAAATTAAATGGGAAATGCTCTTGCTAGCTGAATAATATTATTATTTTTTGCTAGGTAAACAACATATCTCAAAACAGATTACTGCAGCCTACAAGTGGAATAGATCTAAATTTATCTAGTGACCTTTCTTTTAAAAGTGGTGCTTCTGTTTTTAAACAGAACAAGGTGACAAGGTATTTTTGATTATTAGTCTAATGTGTTTGATTTTCCTGTAGTTTGTAAGTAACTGAGACTAGTTGGACTGTAAGTAATGCAGGGGAGAGTCCTGACCAACCTGTTATGAGATCACAGTGGGGGAAAAAAGGGTAAATGCAGATATTTTTGTTCCTATGTCCCAAATGACTACACATGGAGTTCTGGATATAAAAGTACCAAGGCACTGGAGGAATTACCACACTGTTTTTGAGTGTCACCAGGAGTTTCCCACTCCCTTTGGGAGGAAGCAATGTTGTAACAAGTCTGTCTACATAGTTTTGTTTTGGAAAGTCTTGATCTGCTCATTCCTGAAGCGAGTCTTGTCTGGTAAGTGCTTTTAGTAACAGTACTGGGAAAACTCAGGAAGCCCTTTTTCTAGCCAAAGTTCTGGATCTGTCAAGCAATGTGCTTTTTATAGCCGTCTCTCTATTATTCCAGCAGCTGCAGCCTTACCCTACCAAGGCTCAGCCTGTGACAGATAATCCCAGCCCTGTTCCTGTGAGGTGATACTTGTTTCCATCACAGACGCTGGCTGAAGGGCGGTGCTAGGGCCACGCCAAGCCCAGAACTTCAGTAAACTTGTTTGGTAGCCTCTTTGCAAGCCTGCAATCTACTTGTCAGCTCTGAAAGCTTGTTTTCAGTTTTGATTGTCTGCTGTGGTCATTGGAGATCAGCAAAGACATAATTCCCAGAGCATTTTGGATTGGTACTGACAATGGAAGAAGAGCCTAGTGGACCAGCATTATTGAGGTGGGAGAAGAAAAATTAATGAACTTGAGTGAGATTTGTTTTCTAGGTGTCCTTGATTGTACCTGTTCTGATTGTTTCCAAAGCCTGTCTGTATAGGTTGCAGTAAAGAGTTGAGTTGCAACTTGTGGTGTAAAATTGTTGTCTCAAAAGACTGGCAGTAGTATGAGAAAGCTGCCTGCCTTGTGATAAGTCATTTGTTGTACTAGATCTTCTTTAGAACAGTCTTGCTAGAATTTGGTGGGGGAAGTAACACATTCTGGTTACTATCATGGTATGGGTGTATTACAGGATGAATAATCAAAATGGTAACAAAATTGGTCTGAGGAGACAATGGGAGATGAAGATTTCCAATTCAGGATAGTCTATCCAGTTGCAACTGTCAGAGCAGGAATTGACACAAGTGAGTAAGATCAGCAGTGTAAACACACAGAAGATGCCTTTTTGGGTCAAACCAGTGCTCCACAAAGCCCAGCATTCTGCCTGTGACCCTGGCAATGGAAGATGCTATTTAGTGAGAAACTCTGTGGGACCTGCTGTATGAACCTTTGTGGTCTATTTGCCTCATGCTCCATTTTTACATTAGGGATGTTAGGAGGTACATTTCTACCTTTTTCCTTTACTATCTGCACATGGACCAATTGTCCACTGAGTTTGTATAAATTCTTTTTGAGCTTCATAATATTGTCTGCCTCTGCAGCCTCCTTTGGTGACAAGTTCCTAGAGTTCACTGCTCTCTGTGGAAAGAAGGACTTTTTTTGTCTCTGTTAAAGCACATTCCTACTAGTTTTCATGAAAGTCTGAAGTTTGCTTCTGAATATTGTGAGCTCTGGTGATCTTTTGTTCTGCAGCCAGCTATTGGTAGTGCCCATGGTTTTGTAAACCTTTTTCATAACCTCTTTTTATCCAACCTGTTCTCTGAACTGAAGAGTCCCAGCATTTTCAGTCCCTCCAATAGTTTTTAGAGACTAAAGTGTCTCCTCTGAATGATTTCTCTGACTCACCTTTATGACACATTGTATTACCTTGGAATTGCTCTGACCTGTTAGACCCACAGTTCTCCATAGTGTGCCTGAGAGCCTTTGAGTTCTGCCTTTGGTTGTGGTAATTGCAGATGTGTGCTTTTTTTCCTGAACATGAGGAGCTTTGATAGTCTGGGATAATAGAACTTGTACTCAGTTGATATTGCTGGTACTTTTTGGTTTTAAGGCTTTTATATTTTCAGTGAAGGAATCTTGTAAAGGCCATTTAGTAGGGTTTTGGTTTTGATCCAAGTATGCATTTATAGTTTAGAAAATCTTGTCTCAAGTTTTAAGCTGATTTTACTGTGGAATGTTTGCAGGGCTTATAGTCATGTTTTAAAAATCAGTTTATCTGTGGCTTTCCTTGACTCTTTAGTATAAATAGCAGGAGAAAAAAAGTTATCCAAATTAAATTGTCTAAAAGTTATATGTGTACACTGAAGAAATACTGTGTGCTGTCAGATATATTTGGAAAGAAGAGCTCCTTATCAAATTCTCAGTGGGTCTTGTCCAGTCCAGGAAAGCTGTGTTGTTTCCAGGGCTTAGAATGGGGCAGGCTCTTGATGCCTTATCAGAAATGGTGCCTTAGTCTGTGGTGAACTAGTGCAATTGTAACATTCGGGAAACTCTGAAGTCAGTGCACTGGGATCCTTCTGTGGGGAAAAGCAGAACAACTTTCCTTTTAAAACACTTCAGCATTTGAGGGGGAAGCAGGAGGATATAATCTGTTGGTGATACCTACCACCCAGGATATTACAGTTTCATAAATACATCCCTAAAGCTGAGGGTTTAAGTAGCACAAGATCAGAGTGGGAATGCTGATGACATACCTCTTTAAATGGATAGTTGCCATTCTTGTCTGCTTTGTTTTGTTTTGAGAAAGCAAAACAGGGTTGGGTTCAGGTCATACAAAAGCATACAGAGTACCTATTATCAGATGTCTGAATACTAGCACTCCATAATGACGTGTGGCACTTTTAAGTCTATACTGTGTACTGAAGACTTTCTAATTTAAGGTCCTCCCTTCCATTCACTGTCTGACCCTTCAAAAACTGGGAGCTGAAGAGCAACTGGCACTGCTGACCTGTATAGAACAAGATCCAAGTTGTGATGAGCTGGGAGTTTTCCTCTTCTCCCAGGCAACTAGCAATAGAACACAGGAAAATGACCTCCAGTTGTGCCAAGGAAAGTTCATGTTGGACATTAGGAAAAGTTTCTTCACTGAAAGAGTGGTTAAGCATTGGAACAGGGTCCCAAGGGAAAATTGTTGAGTCACCACCCCTGGAAGTGTTAAAAAATGAGTACACATGACACTCCATGATATGCTTTAACTGGGCACGGTGATACTAAGTCAAATGTTGGGCTTGATGATCTTGGAGGTCTTTTCCAACCTTAATGATTCTGTGATTCCATGATACTAGAATGGGATATTTCCTCAGCAAAGATGAACAATTACAATTGAAACACTTGCTCTGAGTCACATGGATCTTGAGAATTGGACATGTCTGTACATGCTATTCTGGAATAGCTGCTCTCAAACATTCATTTTGGTATAATGATGCTTTAGGGTTTGGCTCTTGGGAGGAATTCAGCAAACCCCAGAAGTCTTACTCCTTAATTTTCAAAATGCTCTCGTGTTGTGCTTATTTGGAAACAGCTTCTGTGCTTGAAAACTCACTGTACATTACACTGACTCCCATTGAAGCATGGAAAAGAACTGAGGAAGAGTATTGAGGAGATGTGTGCAACAGGGAGCTTAGGAGAAAATCCACAGTACATGAGGGAAGACAGGGAAAGAAAGGAGAATTAATGAAGTCTGAATAGAAGGGTTGACTTGGGCAAGAACTACAGTTAAAACACTCAAGACCTTGTGAAGCTAGTTTTCATTTCAGGAGTACCTCAGTTTCAAGTCAGGGACCTAGGATCATTTTGAAAATATCATTCATTCATCTGTCTCCCTTCAAGTTACAGAACTGAGTTTGAAAAGCATACTTGAGTTGTAAAAAAAAGGATGTGGAAGAGGGGCATGAATTTTTGCTGGGATAATGCAAGATGACCTTATGTTTATATCAAATACGTTACTTCTTAACTTGTTTATCACTTCCTGTGAAGTATGAAAAAACCCATCTGACTTCCAAATATGTTTTGCATTCTCTTGCTCTGCTACTTTAAGGACACTGGAACATACTATTCCCCTCTCCCCTCACCAATTTTTTAAGTCACCATCTTATGGAAAGGGGCCATCTTTCTATTTGTAACATGAACCACACAGATGGCAATCCTCCCTTCTCCATTTAAACCAATGACAGTACACATAGGAGCTTGGCAAACCCATAATCTTGCCTTGCCATATCACTTCATCATTGTGAGGTATTCAACCAGCTAGATGTTTAAAGGTCTAATAATCCAATCCATTTGTCCTAATAAACTCCTCAAACAACCATGATGAACACAAGCAGAAGGATGCTATCAAAGTTACTGATACGAAGTTAATATTGCCTACCGTGAATAAATGTAATTAATATATATCATAGGATGAAACATGGCATAACCTCAGACATACTGGGGTGCTTGGGCTTTGTCAGGATTCCCCTGCTTAGACACAAGAACCTGAGAGTGACAAGATGAGCATACAAGGAGACAGTAGAAAAGATGAAGAGACTGACAAACTCAAATTTCAAAAGTAGATGTGGATGACTAAAATGAAACTTCTTCACTTGCGAACCCTGCAGGCTACAGTCAGTTTCACTTTTCTTTTTGCCAGAACACTTCAAAGCTCATCTGAAATGGTTATTACTCATAATGAAATGGAAATTGATGTTCTGCCATTACACAGGAAGAGAAAAGATTAAAATACTTTAACTGCTTCTTAGCATGTTTTAATACTGCCTGTGATCTGTCAGCTGCAGGAGAAGTTGATCCCTCGCCAGACTGCTCTGTATTTGGTGGATGAGCTATTTTTATTTCATGAATAATGCTTGGCACTCAACACTCACCAGTGATATCCTATAAATGTCACTTATGATGAGTTTGGCACTCTAGCTCAAGGCCATGGAGTGGGGGCTACTCAAATGTATTTGTTGGGGACTCTTCTTTCTTCAATTATTGTCTAAAAGTTTATTTGTTCATTTGATTCTGTGGACTGAAGGAATGAGCACAGGAGAGGAAAGAGGAGAAGAAAGAGGGAGAGTGAAATTTGATGTTATTGAGTGTCCTTGATTGGTGGTGGCAGTTCTATGCTGGAAGTGCCTCTGAGGTGTGTGTGGTAAAACTTGCCTTGATCGACTTAAACCAAAGATTGGCGCAAGATACGTTTTACATGATCCTTGTGCTTGAAAGTTAAAATAGTCAGCATGGTGCTCTTACAGTGTGTGGGCTGTGCCTTCAGGGTCTGCCTGGAGCAATCCTGGAAATGAACCTGTCTCTTATGGGATAATTTGCCATAAATCAGATTACTTTCAAACAGAGCATATCGCTGATATTTTTGATGTGTAAATCAGTTCCAGAGAAGAAATGCTTAAGGGTGGGAAAAATATTTGCCTTTCAAATATAATCTACCATCTTGACCTTATCAATTGGCAGTGTCTGAAATGGAAGGCCCAGTTTCATTCCATTTGGCTTTCTCACACTTGTTTACTTCTGATTTCTGTCAACCTTCCATGTGTATGAGAACATTGTTGTGGCAGGGTCTGCAAATCTCTGTGCAGGGTTTAGCTTGCCCTGTTTCTCAGAGGTGGGCTGTGCAAGGCTCTTTGAGAGAGTTGAGGCAGCCTCCTGAATATGGATGGAGACAAGGTGGAGAACTGGTGTAAGGATTGAAATGGTGGGCAGTTTGTGCATGAACCATAATACTCCTTCTAATTCCTGCCTTCCAGGCATGAGTCCATCTCTGCCCTGTCCTCTGTGCCTGCACTCTCATCAGACAGCGATAAGGATGGTGAAGATGAAGGCAATGATGAAGATGAGTTACGAGGGCTGCAGTCTTTCCATATTCAGTCCAACTGCAACACTGAGAGAGACTCAGGTATAAATGCTAGAGGGACATGAGCAGAGCTGGAGGAAAATGGCATGGATGTGAAGGGAGGACAAGATGAGAGACACTGGCTTAGGGATAACACGGTATGGGTAGAAAGAGAGAGGCCAAAGCAGAAGCATATGGATAGATAGCAATGGGTAATGTGGAGCTGCTCATTCCTGCATCTGAAGAGGGGTGCAATTCAGAGTTCTCTGTCTAGAAATTCAGTTGTTAAATTGGCAAGTTTCTTGCTAGTTCCAACTGGCTGAAGAAATTTTGAATTAGTTTAGTGTGCTGGGGTCTACAAGCTATTAAAATATTGCAGAAACCAAATATATTTGGTTTCTGCAGAAATCAAAAGAGATCAAGAGATCGCCTCAAAAGAGAGGATTTTAGAGATGTCTGATAAAACTTACAGTAGAGATTGCTTTTATTAATTTGATGTATTTTTACCACAGATGGTACAGTGTATTGGAGCAGATTTTTTTTTCCCCAAGCTTTTGGGAGGGCACTGCACTGTGGCAGGTGTTCTGCAGTAGTCTGCTGATTCAATGGAAATCTTACATAAAACTGTATGTCTCTATTAAAATTTTGGTACAATGATTTGGGTAGTCAATGGGAAAGCATCTGTTGACAGTGGTTCAAAAGGCGTAGGAAAGATGAAGTAAGGGGTTGTTCAAAAGTTATTCATCTTTGTTGAAAGATGAAGTAAGAGGTTGTTCAAAAGCGGGACTGCTGGCCAGGATGTCAACTAGGTGCATATCTCTTTACCTTTGCAGATCCAGACCTTACCCTCTCAAGAAGCCTTTCCCACTGGGAAATGAGGAGGGTGAGTTACTAAACCTTCAGACTGTATTTCTTGTTACAAGGAAACTGAAGGAGAAATTCCCAGAGAGATTAAAATCTGCATTTGCACGTGTGGGAAAGGTGCAGCTGTGGTTGGAAACTACTGAGAAGCTTCTCTCTGAAGAATGATTTAGAGATGGTAAAATAGAGCCTAGTTTAAGAGACTAAAGTGTTTGGAGTCTAGAGCTGCGCTTGGGATTTTTATATCAGTCTTCTTCCATCAGATGTTATGCTTTTGTCTTTTCATTTTTGATTTGAATCTCATGTGGTGCTGAAGCTGTTCATATACTTGGATCTGAGCAAGACATTTAACTGTTCGACTGTGCAAGAAGCAGCAACAAAAGTATCATTTTCACTTGATGCTTTATGATTAAAGGTGCCTTTCAGGCTGTCTTTTAGACAGTTTTGAGGCTTTTATTGAGATGGACATAAATATATTTTTCTGTGTTTCTTGTGGTTTATTTATCCTGTTTTTCCATCAGCCAAGCTCAGTCTCTAAGAAAGTCCGTGTTTTAATTTCCCTCAGGCCAAAGAGATAGCAGCAATCCAGCGCTCAGAGGCACCGATGAGCAAGGTGCCCCGGCAGCGTGGCCGCTGGTCCCAGCCCAGCAGCAGCATAGAGATGACAGTGAAATCCATGCTTGACCTGCGGCAGCTGGAGTCCTTCTCTGTTTCCCGTTCTCCAAGCCGAGACTCGCTGTCCCAAAACAGCAATGGGGATGACAGAGAAGAGCACACTGACCTTCCTGTGCACGTCAACAAAGTAAGGGCAGTACTGCTCTGAGGAGGGGAACACACTCTGAGTGCATCTGTCCTGCATCTATTTGTTATTACCTACATTTATTACTACCTGAGGCCACTCTTTTTATTGTTAAAGGTCTTCTAATGACTTTTGAGGTACCTTATTAGATAACTGTATTGTAATTCATACTCCTGCAATGTGTGATTCTGCTGTCTTATCGCAGAGATCGTATGGGGTCAAGGTTTCCCTTCAATGGCAGGAAGACCTCATGTTTTCTTTTAGCTCTTTGAATATTTATGTCAAAAACAAGCTGAGAAGTTGAGCTTGGAGATACAGGTGTGTAAGAATCTGTGTCTCTCGGGCTGTTGTATGAGTCCAGCCCAGTTAGCTAGGACCCTGGCCCATACGGTCTTACATGGACAAAGTAAAAGACAAGAAGTGCTCTTCTCCACGTGGGGATGATGTCCTGTTTAATGGCTTGGGAAGGGACACTTCTGGTTCCAGCAACCACCCACGTGGGAAAGAGCATGTGCCCTTCTTGCAGTGGACTTTTATACCCGAGGAGGGGGGCAGGGAAAGAGGACCACGGCCAATGGGATACCATTGAGGAGGGGCAAAGGGAGGGGTAACCAGGGGCCAGACCACCAGGGGATATAGCAGAGGGGTGCATGAGGTGCATGTGATGGGAGAGGGGGAATAACAATCTATGTGATATAACATACTCAGCACAAATTTCCCATCACCCAGTGCAAAACAACAACTAAATAAACTATTTAGTGCAATACAACACAGGTGTGTAAAAACTTGGTAACCTGTGACCTCACTCTGCTGGAATGCAGTTTCTTGACTCCAGTAACCACTGCAATGTGGCTCACATGAAACCCTTAGGTGTTGGCTGTGCTAGATGTGTAAATTCTCTTTGATCTTTGTATTGATGGGTCGCAGCTAGTAATGAGTGCTCATCCTCAGAAAGCTAGTGCCTATTTTCCAGTAGCAGTCTGTCCAGTGCCTAGCTTCATTAGAAGTTTTGCTCCCCTATAACTGTGTGACTGAGAAGAGGATTCACATTGTTGTGTGCAGTAATTCGATTTTTGAGCTGAAATGGCCCTGTTTTGTGAATTGTCCAATCAATCTATAGAAAGTAATGGAAGAACCTTCTGCCACATGACTTACACTCTTGATGTGTGATCAAAGAGTACTTTACCAAAGAACTTTTGCAAATAGGAAACAAACCAGAAAAGTACAGCAGTAGTCTGACAAGTTTAGTAAATAAGGAACAGAAAAGATGTAGGATTGCTGTGTTTTCTGATCTCAGATTGCTGAACATATTCTGTGCTATAATGCATACTTTCTAGCCCTGCACAGCACTTGCTGATGTAAGGTAAAACACTGGTAATATCTAGTTTTCTCTTTTTAATTAAACCAGGTTGGCAGCTCAATACCTCCCCAAGATAATGGGTCTTGTGCACGACCCCAGGTGATTCGGCTTGTGTCTTGTGAAGAGGGGATTTTCTCTCAGGAACTGGAACCTTCTGAGAGTGAGGAATGTGTAATCTACCCTGTGCAAGATGAAATCCATCCCGCAGACTCTAGCAGGTTAAAAATAAGCTCTCTGCTGTGCATGGCTCAGATGTTTCTGTTCTGGTTTTCTTGCAGCTTGTGTGGTAACTTTGATGACTTGACTTACTGCCTAATTGATGTCAGACATGTTTAGTTGAGAGTTTTGTGTCAGATGGATGCTAGAGGAATATGAAACTATGAAACTAAGAAGGCACCATTAAAATAATTTTCCTCTGAGGGAGCTGCACATTAGCAGTCTCCTCCAAGTTTTTTTTTGTTGAGTAAACAACTTGAGAGTAGCCTTTTTGCTTTCTCCCTTATCTGGGTTGAAAATAGCAAGGGAAAACTTGGAAGCTGGAAAACTCACTAGCAGTGACACATATGTGGCAGTGAAATGCATACCCAGCAGAAATGACAGGACACTTATTTATGAAAATTGGGCAAGAATTTAGTAAACGTAGTGTGTGATTACTCTTATGTGGGAAATAGACTGAATTGCTCAATACAGATGGAATTGAAACAGACATTGGAGACAGTGGAGACCTTTTTTATTCCTCTGCTGTTTCTTCTGTTTTAATATTACATAATTTAATTTTTCTGTGCTCCCTTTTATTTTTCTTCCCTGAATTTTGTTCTTCCCTTCCCGTCTTAACCTGATGCTAGTAGCTGCTTAATTTCCTTTGTTTTCTGTCATGTTACAGAGAGCAGGGCTGATAGCTTTAGACAGACTTTCAAACAAGAGTGCATGCCAAGATTTTGCAGTTGAAGCTGCAAGGTTTCGCCTAGCTTATTTTTCATTTTTAACTTTGTGATGATAACATTTGGACAGAGTAGACTCGTGTGCTGCTCCATCATGTAAGAAAGGGAGACCCTCCAGTGATGTTGGATACAGACTGGACGCATGGCAATGTTTACAGCGTATGGGAGCTGCCAGGAGCAGTTGCCATTCAGTTCTGCTGATTGACTTCTGCATCCTAACTTGCCTTGGAGTACATTTGAAACCAAAGTATTCCAAAAAGTGGAAAATGGAAGTCCTTAGGCATCAGACAAAAGAACAGTGCTGGTGACATTTGACAAAATAAGTTCCATGAAATCACAACAGAAATCAGTAACCCTTTCATACAAGATTGTATTTTTGTATTATGTTCTTCAGTAAATTAGTCTTTCTCAAAGCCAGAATCTTGTATATTTTGCATCATAGAATTTGCCCAAAGAAGCAGGTCATGAACATAGGAAAAAAAGTGTATTAGAGCTTAAATCTATGGCAGACTGGAGTTTCTCTCCTGTAGGCGTAGGCCTGGTTTTAGTCCCTTTTTCATCATGTAAACTTCTACATTTTTTCCTCACCTGTGCTGGAAATCAAGCCAGAGCAGAGTGCTGCTGGTGCCTGGTAATCATGGGAACTGACAACACCCAGAAAATCAGACAGTCCCCTTGGGACTTCCATGTCCAAGCTTAATGAAATGCAAAAAATATACTGTATTATGATGAGAGAAATCAACTTCTCTTTCTCTTTAAAGCCTTACATTTGTAATAAAAGGTGTTACTAATACAGGTAAGGCCTTATTAAAGTTAAAATGTGCTTCTTTACATGTAAACAAATATGTCTTCTAGTGTTGTATCTTCCTGTCTCTCTTGTAGTGAGTTCCAGGTAAAAGCATTGCCCCATGGGAAACTATGTAGAGGTTATCAGAGTAATGGATGCCCAGACAAACACAGTCCAGACAGTGCCTGCTCTGTAGATTACAGCAGCAGTCGTCTGTCCAGCCCAGACCATCCAAATGAAGGTAAGATGCAAAGCCATTATAAATGTATTTATTTATATGTGAGCTTTTAGTGAGCTGATCTGAGGTCACACTATTAGTCACACTGGCACTGCTGTACAGACTCAGGGGCATTTGAACAGACACCCCAATGAAGCCACTGTAGAAGCAGGAGTTGGTGGACTTTCCTTCTTTCCTTGTGCACCTTTGGCTTTCTCTTACCTCACTAGCCAAGGAGGCAGGTTTAGTACTGATTATGCCATAAGCTATGCTGTTTGTAAGATACAGTACATTAGAGAATTACTGCATGTAATGCTGACCAACTTTAACATTCTAGGTTCAATTTAGCATCTTTGTTGGTGTGTTTTTTTTAAATTTGGCTAATGTTACTCTGATTTAGTTTTTACAGCACTGGGGTTTTTTTGCCTTTTCCCAGATTCAGAAGGCACTGAGCCTCTAAGCGTAGATGGTGTTTCAGACCTGGAGGGAGAAGAAGGAGAGGAGGATGTGAGTACTAGCATGCCTGAGGGAGAAATTCCTCAGATACCTGATCAAGAAAAGTTCCTCAAGGAGCATTTTGGGACCCTGAGCAACACTGATGGAAAAGGTACATCGCTATATTTTCAGGGGGGAGACTTTGTTAGGTCACTCCTGACTTTTCCCCTGTATAATCCAAAACAGGCTTTAAGTTCCACAAGGCTTTCATGGATGTGTGTATATATGGGAAGAGGGGAAAAAATGGAAAACAGTGTAAGAGGCTGAAAGAAGAGTTAACATCTGTTAACTTCATCGGCCTATGTGTTAATTTGTGTAGATGGGCTCTGTGTCAGTTTGTATTAAGTATTGTCCCTGGAATCCTACAGAGCTGTTACATTGCTCCCGGACTGGTTTTTCCGGTTGTAAAGGAAGGTACTGACGGCGCGTTCGTCCCGCATAGGTGACACGCAGTGGCCTCTAGTGGTGCATCAAGGCATAGCCAGTGTCACAAAAGAAAAGGCTGAAAAGCTGGGTGGAGAGAGAGAATAAGAGGAGACATCAGAGTGGCAAAGGAGCTGGTTTGTCTTTATCAACCAACTCCAGAATAAACCATATCTTTTTAGAATTGATAATGGTTACAGGCAGCAATAGCTATGTGAGTTTTTCGGGTTCTTTTTTTTTTCTTTTTCTTTTTTTCTTTTATTTTTTTTTCTCTTTGATGGGTTTGTTTTCTGCTTCATGCCAGTGTCTCACAGTCCTATAGGCAGGATAAGACACAAAGGAAAGCAAAAAAGGAGGAGGCGTACCCTTAGGGAGAGTAGCAGCTTAAGGCAGAGTAATCTAAGTAGAACACTAAAGGCAAAGGAAATACAATTATTTCATTCTCTGTGGCTTTAGCTTAAAAAAAATACCCTTGGATATCAAGGAACACTTTATAGTCTCTATGATAAGAAAATTTACAGAGAATGCTCTGTAAATAAACTGCTCATTTTTCTTTCTCCTCTAACCAAAATTTTTAGGTGGCTCATGTAGGAATCTGGAAAGAACCGAAACCCTCAGCATTTCCTCTCGCTTTCTTTCCCAGTCCCCGGCTCTCAGGTATGGCTCTGCTTGTTTTGAGTGTTTCTGTCTGTGTATTTATACTAATATGAGTAGGTCTCATGCTAGGTTCTGGGTGAAAATAGCTGAACAAACTTCTGGCCTTGGTGTGCCTTGGCACAGCAAAGTGTTAGCACAGCCCTTGGCAGGCTGCTTGCAGACTCTTGTGATTTGGACAGGTTATCCTGGATCACTTTAGCTGTTTTATTTATTCTAATGTAACACTATTGTTTGTTCTTTTCCCTCTTTCAACAATGTGCTTAATTGTTTCATGATTAATGCCTTGGTTGATTAAGTTGGAGGAATTATTAATAATCTAATTTTCTCTTCACTGTTTATGCTCTGTTTATTCTTTTGCATTTCATTCAGCTTGGACAATGAAAGTAGATTTGTCAACTTTTCCTTTGTTTTACAGTCCTTTCTTACTCAGCTTTTTTTCTTGGTCCCATGCCTTCACAGGGTGTTCTGGTGTCTCGCAAAAAGCCTCACTGGGATATTATTCTTCCCTCAACCCTAAAAGGCCTCTGCAAGCTGTTTTCCTTGTTATTAAAAAAAAATCCCAACAAAACAAATAAATTTTAAAAAATTAAAGCATTAGGTCAATGTTTTTGTTTATTTGGGTTCATAAATTTTTAAAACACACAAATACTCCTATATTCCTCTAAAATGACAACCTAAAATCTTAGTTCAAAGGAATTTCATCATATAGGACTAAGCAGATTTGAATACATCTTCTAAGGTTCACCAGCTGTGTCCAGATTCAGCATGGTAGGGAAATTTGTTTGTTATTGCTGTATTCAGTTGCTGTAGCTGCTGTCAGGAATGCTTCTTAGTCTGATTCATGTGTATTTGGGAAGAAAACCAATGGTAACTATTGTGTAAGCTTCTGGAGAGCTGCAGTGATGAGTGAAGGAAGTCACTGGTGCTGTAAAGATGTAACAGGGGAGGTAGTTTTTGATTATGAAAACCTCTGGGCTTTGAATCTGTTCAGCTGTTTAAACATGCCAGATTGGAAGTTGCCTCCTTTCTGAAGTAAGCCCACTGTGTTTGTCTCAAATGGAGAGGAAGAGGAAATTAAGCTTTCCTCTTTAAGATACTGACCAGCTTTCCTGGTCATTATGCTTTCCTAATGTTAGGAAAGCATATTTACTTCCTCTTAGGGTTATCTTAGAATTGAAAAGATTTAAATTTTAGTAAGGTAAGCTGAGAGAAAAGACCTGACTTTGCCCAGTCTTTCCTATGCCTGGAATTTTTCCTTCTCTTTTGTCTTCACTTTTTATGATGTCCTCCCTGGAAACAGCAACCCAATGCTATCTGTGATTGCAGTCTCTAGTCAAGTGCCTGAAGACCAGAGCTTGCAGGGTTGAGTAGAATTAAGTGGTAACAGCTTAGGGCATTTTTGACTCAAAAAAGTCCAGACAGGGAGGAGTTCTTAATTCCAGAGAAACTTAATGCATGTTCCTGTCTATCCAGGGGAACACGCTTACTTGTTTTAACTGGGATTTCTTTATTGTGTTCTTTAGACAACTGTCACTCTCTTCATCCAATCTGACACTGGTTTCAAAGCCCATCGAGCCACCAACCCAGACCAGTCAGTTTACATCAAACCTGTTGAAAAATGACAGCAGCCATCCTGGTGACGCATCAGAGAGCAGCCAGCTCCTGGAGAATGTAAATTCAAATCGAGCTGCCTGTATGCAGAAGAAGCGCAGATCAGCTTTGGAGCCCAGCAGAGTTGGTATGGCTCCTGGACGGGTTATTGCCTCCTTTCCAGAAGGGCCTGTGAATGCAGTCATGAGGAAGGCACAGTCAGTGCATGACCTCGTGCATGAGGGTAAGCACACACATTGGAATGATGGTACCTGAGAATGAAATGGGGACGTCTCAGTGGAGGTTTTAAATTTAGCTTGTCTTTCTGCATTCTGAGCTACAGGCTTTACATGTCTTCTAAATCCTAGGCTGTCAAGGGAAAATATTTTAAATATTATTAATTAAAATATTATTTAATATTTTTAATTTGTCATGCAGATGCTGGTCTTCTAATTATCAGTGTCTGATATTTGTTTGACATATGTGGGAGAAGCACTGGCAAGGGTGAAATAAAGTATTAGCAAAAATATTCTCCCTTGCTGTGGGTGGTTGCTCCAAGCTAAGCCTGAAGGGTGGGGAGGAGAGAAAGAGGGAAGAGGCAGTAACTGAGAGCTTACTGTATCCATGCCCACTGTGTGAAATAACTATTTTTGAAACAAGTAACTCAATAACGGTTAATAAGTTTGTTTAAAAAACAAAAAAAAAAACCCCACATGATCACCACAACGGCATATATCAGTTTTTGCCTGCTTCTTCTGGCCTCTCTGTTAAGAGTCACAGTGGTCCAAGGTCTTCTGACCATACATGTTAAGAACAAATCTCTCTCATGAGGAAAGCAGAATTGTCTGAGCAGGATGAGGGATGGCAAAAAAAGAAAGCTGTTGAGGCTTGGTGATACTAACCTGAACACGTCTCACAGGGGCTGAGCTGAGCCATGTTAAATTCCAATTTAGGAATTCACTGCAGGCTCTTGTCTATTTTTGGTATGTTTATCTGTTTAATTTTCACAGATAAGGGGCCAGGAGTGATATCCTCTGCCAAGCAGCGTCCTCAGACTCTTTTGGTGGTTGAGAAGGATCCCAGACCTAACAATTGCAGGGTGTTATCAGCCAGTATGTTGAAGATGGATGGATCTGGAGCTCTGCTGGCCAAAGATGTCAGGGCTGCAAAACCAAAGTCCTACATGAACCCCACAACCAGCTTCCGAGCTAAGATGTCAAGGAGCATATCTGTAGGGGAAAATCTGTACCTTGGTTGCTCCACTGAAATGTTGACTGATGGGAGGACTAGCCCTCCAGTGACAGAGAAAACACAATTTAGTTCCACATCAGATGCTGAGAAGATTAAGCTGCCAGTGAAAGAAAACGTTCCAGTGAAACCTGCACTCCAGCCAGTTGTAAACTGCTCATCTCCCAAGTCCTTCCACAGCAAGTTGGCATCATCAAACCGAGCACATCTGATTCTTGACATTCCCAAGCCATTGCCTGATAGACCCACACTGGCCTCCTTCTCACCCACTACCAAAGCAAAAACCCTGCTTGAGCCACAGTCTCCACAGTCACCTGCTGGGGCCTCCAAAAAGAAACCCTCTTTTCCTGAGGTCCGAACCTCCAAGAGGGAGAATCAAGCTGCTGGGTTTCTCGTTCCTGGTAGAGAGGTCTCAACAGGGCTTGCTAAGGAGAGCCCAGTGGATTATCCAGTCTCGAGGACAGATTGCCAGGATGAGCCAGGGGTCACTAGTCTAAAACTGAGGGAAGTGTCAGAGGGCCAGCAGCTAAGGTCTCCTGAGAGCACACTGCCCAGGGGCAGGGAGCGGATCACCGGCATCGCATGTGTGCTAGACAGCCAACCTGGACTTTGCCCACTAGACCCCATCAGGCCCAGGTCTCCTACAGCTATAACTGCCTCGGCACAGGTCTCAGGTGTGCATGGATACCCATCTCTTATCTTCCCCCTTCTGTCTCCTGTCTTTGTGAACCGCCTCACGATCCCATCACATTTCTTTACGTCCAGCTTCTGGCCTGTCTCGTCCTGTCTGCACCTGTCTCGTTCCATAAACCATCCCCTCAATGGTGAGACACTTCTTCAATCTAACATCTTTTTCTCAGTCTTTAGTTTCCATTTCCTCTGGGTCTTATGTCTGACAGTCCTTCTTACCTGGTTTTGTAGACCTCAGAATTGTCATGATTTTAGTGATTTAGCTGTACAATTACCTCTAGGGGCTCAAACCTCTTTGTGGTGAATGCTGAAAGCTCATATGCTGGGAACCCCCTGAAGTATGTAGGTCACATTCCTCACCCTCCTCTTGGAGCACATTTGGCCAGCAAATGAAGGTACAGGCCAACATGTACTAACAGAACCAAGCAAGCACAGGTAATACTGGCAGTGAAGTTATGCCAGGCAGCTCGAAGTTTCCTTTGTTAATATGCAAGTGTGCAGGGTCCAGAAAGGTTTGCATACAATTTTCTCCCATGAGATAAAGTTCATGAAAGTGAGCTCCTTGCTGTAGCTACCTGTGAGAGCAAGCAGGTTTTTGTGCTGTTATCACTCTGCTTTGAGGACATGTCTGCAAACTGAGTATGTGCAGGGTTTGAACATAAAAAATGTGCATTAATTTTTGGATTATCTTTAGTTTGGAGAAAAAGATACAAGACGAAAAACTTTCATCTACTGAAAACAGCTCTAAGATCTCTTACAGGTCTCAGTTTAAGGTAATTCAGTCAAATGAAAACTAGCAGATAAGTTCAAATTGAAGCAGGAATCCTGCCCTCCAAGGCAGGAAAACCTCCAGAGTTTGGGGCACTGTTTAGTTCCACATCATCTCCTGAGGTTTTTCTTTTGTGTCACAATCAGAAAGGAAATACACCTCTCTGAGCTGTATATTAGAAAGCTGAATGTTAACCACTGCACTGATAGCTTCTACCTTAAGGGGCTATACAGCTTTTATCCCTTTTGTTATGCTGTTCTTACTCATATCTGAGAAGGGATAGCTCTGTAATCCTGTGATAGATGCCTTCTGTGGTGCCAGGCTGTTACACCATTCATTGGAATGGTGCAACACAATATGGTTAAGCACAATATTTATGCACCGAAACATTGCAGAAGGTTTAATCTGGTTTTGATGCACTGTTATTTTTCTTTTTGCATTTCTAGAGAGATCAAACACCTTAAGAGTGAAGCACTATTATGTAAAACAGGAAATGTGATATTTTGTCAAGGGACCTGCAGTTATCATACCATTGCTGCTCTGAAGAATAGTGAGTGCAACTGAAATTTTCAGACCCTCCCCCTACAGGGATGAGATTTTTTTCTAGCTCCAGATGCAACCTGAAGCTGTGGAATCACATTCTACAGCAGAATTTTACTTGTCTGTGCTCTTTAGGCTGAGTTTTCTCTTCTAGATTTGCGAATCAGGCTACATAGCAAATGGTTTTTGGTCAGTTTGCAGAATTAACACAGGTAGCACAGATAAAGATTTTCAGTATTGATTTTATTTTTTTTTAACAACTCCCAAGACATAGCACACCCTGACAGAATATTTAACATATTTAACAGCATCCTTTAGTGATTAGAATGATATAGCACTGTGGATCGCAATTTTTTTTTTCTCAGTAGGCAGCTGTCAGCCTTAAGCTTCTTGCAGACCACATTTCCCAAATTTTTAGTGGTAGATGCTGGAAAAGCTGTTTAGATCCAAGTTGGCTATTGCTGTGAACAACTCACTGTGGCTCCTGGGAATCACGTGGCAGTTTAGATGAAAACTGTAGGGTTGATAGAGACTTGTTCTGCTTCTGACTTGCACTGCTACTTTGGATTTCCACCTAATTTTTCTGTCCTTCAACTTCCCGCTTGTATAACAGCTACAAATAAAAATACTTCATTGTACTTATTAAAGTGTTTTGACATCTACAGTTAAGATGCTGTAGATGTGCTTAGTACTGTTGCTGTGTTTAATATTCTCTGCTGATTTCTGAAGAGCTCTGCTCTGCACACCCGAGAGGCAGAAAATGCCTGTTACTTAAGCATTTATATTAGGTTTTGTGATCTTTCTCCTGACTGGAGCCTCCCAGAGCTGGAGACCAGCATAAAAACAATGATCAGAGGAGAAATCCAGAAAAGAGAAATGAGAAGAAACAGCTGGGTTTCAAACATAAAGAGGAAAGGAGGGGGGCAGAAATCAAGAATCTTGGATTGCACTGAAGCCCACTGTCCTCAGACTCCATGGGTGATTTAGGATCAAAGGATGCAGATGGAAGGATTTGTTCTTGCCCTTTTGTTCTTTGTGGATGTTTTTTGTTAATATATAAGTAGATGTTTTTCTAGCTGTATTTGTTCATGCATCATTGAGATGTATTAATAAAATTAGTTTAGGTCCTCTCTAGTCTTTTCAAAGATGGTGTTCTTAGAATTGCAGACATTACAGTGCTAAATGTGATGAAATTTTGGGCTTGGGTAACTGAAGAAAGTTGAATGTCCTTTGTCCAGGCCTTTGCAAATTGAAGATTGTGTTTGTGTGTCTATGTCTTTGTTCATGGTTTATGTATAACTCATGAAAGTGTTTATTGTAAAAAGATTGCAGGCCTTCAGCTCATGTTTTGGAGATAATATCTGATGGGGACAGGCAGAAGATGCTGTCCTTCAGTTGCTTGCTTTTATTTTTTAGATTTGGATTATGGTCTATCCCCAGTGTATGTTATGTGTTGCTCAGCAATGCAATTCTGTTCTGAGTTTGCTTGTCACAGCTCCTCTGGAACTCAGTCCTCACTAGAGAAAATTGCAATAATTCAGTATAATCCATCATGCTCTGTGCTTTTAATACACTGTGCAGAAGGATGTGTGAGGGGAAGCTTGTAGATTTCTAACTAAGTAGAAGCTAAATTAGAGGCTCTTTGGATCAGGCCCTCATGCCTCTGGAAGCCCTCATGCAAACATGGTTTTAATTGTAATTGGAAATCACATGGGTAATCTGTGACTGTAAAAAAAATGTGCAATTTGAGGAAAAACATTGCTGACTTTGGAGAGTCCAAAGACTGGAAAAATAGGAGTGTTTGAAGCAAGCAGCATGTCTAGTTAGTATGAAGGAAAGTTCATACAGAATGTGCCTATTTAATAATTTGCTCAAACCAGCCCTAAATATTGAATGATAAGTTGTATGTGTGTGATGTTTCAGATATGCATTAAAAAGCCTGTTTTCTTACCAAACTGTGAGGTTGTGGATAGTGGAGTGTCTGTGCCTTACCTTGTGCTTTTATGTTTTCTTCCCTCCAGAGTTGGGCATCAGCATAGAGCAGTGTGAGCACGTGGTGTCCGAGCTCCAGGACAGCATGCGCAGAGCCCTTCACCTCTACCGCAGGGTGAGTGACTGAGTGACCTCACACACGGACTCTGCTATGGTAGCTGAGCTTTACAGCCCACAGGCATCTTACACTGATGTAAGTGCTTGCTGCCTCAAGGTGTTCTCTTGACTGTGTGTTCAGTGACACAAGCTGCCTGGCTGTCCACTTGACTGCACCTTCAACTTGAACCAGGAGCTCCTGATTTCCAGTTCTTGGGTTTTCCAATGGTTTGTTATGGTACTCTGAGCAAATCAATTAGGTTTCCAGTCTGTTTAGCCTATCTGTAAACTGAAGATAACAGTATGCTCTTTTTCAAAGGGATATTAGGGAATTAATTAATGGTTATACACTATTTCAGGGATATGAACTATTACAGGAGCTTTGAGTTTTATTACCCCATTTGTTCTTTGTCTTTGATGCCTGGGAAAAGGATTAGCAAATGTGGGATACCATGGGAATCCAGCTGTGAGAAGAACATGCAGCTGTTCACATGTCCCTCTCACCTCTATACCAGAGCTACATGCAGAGCAATATAACAGCTCTTTGTTCCTTTTCTTACCACTGATCTGTCAGGTCTCCTGCAATCAGTGTGAGACTTTGATGGTGAGCATCTGCCACATGGTCCTCTGCAGCTCTGGCCACAGCACTTGCATTAGCTCTCTGACCTTGCTCTGTTCCTGGGACCAGCTGCATTTGGCAGACAGGAGGGACTGGAGACTGTGGCCCTGTGCTGCCGCTGGGAAACACATTACCTCCTTAAGCCCACTATAAGGGGAACACTGCCCAAAAATATGCTTCCCATCTCTGTCCTATTGGACTAATGCCTGTGGATTTTGTGCAGCTAGGGAGTATTGGATGCATGTCCTGCTATATGTCTAAATAGGCAGTCTCAAATGTTGAAGAAAAGTAGACTTGATTGGTCTGCAAGTCTTTATGGCTTTACTTCCCTCAAGGGCTCAAATTGCTTACTTGGTGCTCTACCTGAACCCCAATGCATTCCTTGTTTTCCCCTCCTCTTTGTTTTCAGGTACTAAATGATACGGAATCTTCTACTGACAAAGATAAAATAGCAGGCCTCCTGACAGAAACATTCTCCTCCATGAAGAAAGAGTTGGACTCTCTGAAGGATGCAGAAGAGCTTCCAAAAGACAAGGAGGCACTGGTGAAGCCACAAGATAACACTAGCCCACTGAATGAGGGATGCGGTGCCAATCTACCGAGTCCCAAGAGTTTGGGAGATGAGCAGACACTCGCTTTGTTGGAACAGTACTCGGAGCTATTGCTGCAAGCTGTGGAACGACGCATGGACAAAAAACTCTAAGAGGGGTGGCTTTCAGGTGTTTGTGAATACACAGAAATAATCGCAAGAAGAGGACCACAGAGAGAGCTTCAGACCAATGCTACCATCAGCTGGTCAAGGGCTGGTGGAGATACCTTTATAAATTGATTTCCTCAGGCTCCAACAACTTGTTCCAATTCTTAGCAATGTGCTGGCCACAGTTTTAATATTTGTTTCCCAATGGTCTTCAACTTCCAAGACTTCTAAACAAAGTCTTGAAAGAGGAGTTTGGAGAAATTGCCTTGAAATTTCTTCATAGCCAGGAGGTCAGGATGTTTGACATCTAAAAATACAGGGAAAATCCAGTTTATCCAAGAAATTCTGAACTGCTGACTAAAAGCAAAGGTTGATGTGAAGCCAATCCCTTCCTCTCCAAGACTTCATAAGAATCAAGAATCAGACTTTTTATGGGTTTATTTATTAATTTATTTCTCTTGACTGTTGCTCTATGCCACGTTTGTGGCTGTTACCTTTGTCCTTTAAAAAAACTGTCAGTCCCTTTGCCATATCCCAGCGAGAAACAATCTCTGTATTATAAATCCCCAACAGGGAGACAGGCTGGAGTGTCTGTGCAATTAATGAACTGTTCTCTGCTTAGATCTTTTCTTGCTGTTCTTGCTTTTCCTCCCTTGGTTTTGTTCCTTGTAATCCTGCTGTTGTTATGACAACCCTGTCTGCTTTCCTATTGTGTCAAAATAGTCCCCACACTGTATCTTATCTGCATTCACCTCCAGGGAAAGGCTGTGTATCCCTTGGGCCATGCTTTGGAGATTACTTTATGAATTCATCAGTGGTATTTTTAATCTGGAATTTGAATACTTCAGACTGGGTTTTCTGCAGACATTTTAAAAATTTGATTTAGATACAATACAAAAGTTTATTTCAGCCAGTTTTCATGATTAGGAATTGGATATTGAGTTTGTTACTATTTATTTTTGGAGAAGTAACATGGAAAAGCTGGTTTCCATCTCATACAGTGTCACTATGGGATTGAGAGATCTTCAGTGCCATGGCTCATCTGTGTCATTTGTTCATTTCACTGTGATAGGAAAATGTTTTCTCCTTGCCTTTACATGAAAACAGAACATTTACATCACAAGAAAGCTGGGATTCTTTTACCTTTTGTAAAGCTATTTCAAAACCCCTCACAAAATTATTTCCTAAGAACTTCAAATGAGATATTTTGGGGTGTGAGGACCTCCATTTCCCCTGCCTCTAGCCCCTTTGCTTTTAATGAATTTCTGGTCTGAGAAACAGAATCTTCTCTTCTTGCATTTGTATGTGCAATATTCTTCTTGCCCTGTGGAGCTTCTCTAAACCCCTGCTAACTTGTGTCTATTGTGGCTTAAAATTGTCCAGTGATGTTTTTTAGGTCAATGATATAAGCTAAGAAAAACAATTTTAAACCAATGAAATTCTTCAGCACCTTCTCCCTTACTCCCACTCCTTCTAACAACAGGGGAAAATACGCAAAATGTTTTATTTCTTGCATCTCCAGTCTGTCTTGCATTTATTTTAAGGCAGAGCAGTGTAATCTGAGTTCATAAAACTAATGCAAGCAACAAGAATTTGGTGGGAGAGAGACTGCTACCATCTGTGGAAGTCAGTCAGAGGCAGCCAGACTGCAACACTTGGTTACAGAGGTTACAGGGTGGAAGCAGGTTTTTTCATTTTACTGTCCTGGCTGCTGTTTCTCTGAAACGCTGTGGCACTTGGAAATGTGGTCTGTTGACTTCTCTTTCTGTGACTGCAGATCTGCGGTGCAGCCTTTTTTCTGCTGGTCTGGCCAGACTGGCATAGGACAACCTGTTTCTCCTGAGTAACTGTAGGGCTGATAATCTGCAGTTCTGTCTCTCCCCTAACAGGTTTGCTGCCTGATCACTGCTGTGTGCTTCAGGACATGGCAGTATGGGAAACATTTTGAGAGCTTTCGAGCTCCTTCTGCCTGTAATTGAAATCTGCTTAAACATGTTTCAGGTGTCCTTGCTAACCTTTCCTTCCATGGGCTTGTACTGAAACTTTAAAGGGGTTATTTTCTAGTCCCTTCTCTGCACTGTATTCTGCTGAATCAGCTGGTGTGCTCAGTCCCATGGGCAGCTTCTCTTGCACAGACAGGTTTTGCAAAGGAAGGCAAATTGGAAACCAGAGAGGAAGTTTCTGGCAGTGAAAAGGTGAGCTGGAGAGGCCATGAGTGGAATGTGTGATAACAGTCATGTTGGGTCTGTGATGGGAGTTAGTGTGGGTCAAGCTTGCTTTTGAGGTGACCAGTACCTCCACTTTCAGACTGTGAACATACGTCCTGGTATACAGGGAATTTCTTGCTGTACTGGGGCCACAAGACACTCAGGAAAAATAGCAGCCCCTTGAACCCAGTTATATTTTGGTACTGTTGATAATGGTTTGAGGGTCCTTTATAGTACTTCCTTGTGCAATTTTATACCATTTTATTATTTAAACATTGAGGTAGTGACAAAAAGGTCAGAGATGATACAGAAGAGCCAAGTGGTGAGAATGAAATGACCATGAAAGTAAAGGACAACAACCAGCCAATCTGGCATAGAGATATGAAACAAAGCTCCTTGGAAATAAATTGTGTGAAGCAAATCTGATTTTTAAGCTGATCAGAGTGGGTTTTGTTTCCTGGAATGGATTTTACTTTGGATCATGGCTGTATACAGGAAACCAGAGGTAAAATCTGATCAGAATGATGGCAAGAAAAGTGTTGGGCAAGTAGATCAGTTGGAGAATGGTTGTGTAGTTTAACATAAATTTAGAACAGTGTATGTAGGAGACTCGGGAAAACAGTAGAAGTAGAGATGATCTTGGTCTGTAGAACACCATTTGGCCAATACCTGTGAATGATACAATACCAAAAGGCTTCAGGAAAGTAGATATAGGACTTGGAGATGGTGATCTGTAATTGAAGGATGAATGGGAAGGAGTTGGTTTTTAAATATGTTCTGTTGAGCCTCTTGCTTCTTCTCTTGCAACTGTTCTCTAAACAACTATTTTTTTTCTTAAATGGCAAAGTCCTGAGCTGCTTGTTCAAGGCTTTGATATTTTGAATTGATTAGAAGCCCAGTAAAGGAGATGCTTGTGCCACAAGTTTGTTGCTCAGAGGGGTGTGGGGATAGTGTTGCTCTTTTTAATTTAAGACTGATCTAACTAATTGTTCCCTGCTAACTTCCTATTGCTGGCAGTAGGAAATATTCCTAAAACCTCTAGTTAACAGAACAAAAAGAGCATAAATGCTTTGCATTTGCACCTTGTGAACATGTTTCACTACAGGCTGTCCATTGGGCCAGGTAGAGAAATAATGAATGGTAACTGCCTGGGAAGTCAAGAGGCTTGTCGGAGGAGGTAATAAATTTTAGTCTATCCCTCTTAATGGTTTGTGATCCCTCTTACTGGTTTATGTGGGTGTTAGCATAGGCACAGCAAGATACCTGTATTACGATAAGTTATTTGTTTAACATAAAGCCTGAAAAAATAATTTGGATCTACCTATTCTCTTTACATATATTTTCCCTTCTTCAACCCAACATTCCTGGTCAAAATGAGAAGTTTTAGGTTTCTTTTCCATCTTGCAAATAGTACTGCTTTGCCTGTGGAGCCCCTCAGTTTGTTTAAGGGCTCTCTTGAATTGGGACAGTAGGAAGGGCTGCAACCTGAAAGGGCAGCAAACTGTTGTATTTTCTGCTGCAAGCAGATAACACCTTCATCCTCCCCATACCTCAGCAGCACTCAGGAGCTGTGTGTATGGGCATCCACCTTTCTTCCACCTCCTCTCTCAGGTTGTCCTCTCCTTTCCCATGCCACCTCCCAGGTGATGACTGGGGCATGGCCTTACAGCAGCCCCCTCCCCAGCCTACCTGTTTTTCAGACTTCATCATGACTCAGAGGAATTGGGACGTTTCTTTCTGGGAGTAGAAACATACCAACTTAATTTTTTAAGAACGAATATGTATATACTTATATATAAGGAAAAGAAAAAAAGAAATACAGGTATTTAAACACCCTTGGTAAATTCATGCATGTATACAGTGTCTTCTCCCCAGCCCGTTGGATGTGCAGCATCCAGGACACTAAATGACAAAAACCTCATGAAATGATAGACAGGTCTTCTAGCAGCCCCCCGAGAGAGCAGGTGGTTCCTTCTCTGGGTAACTGCGGCGTGTCCCATGTTTCAGGTCGTGCGTATGAAGGACATGGGGCGGCTGGGGCTGTGCTCGTGTCACACGGGGACCCGCGCGGGGCAGCCGCGCTCGGAACAAGCCATGTGTGCCCCGCGCGTCCTCCTGCGCCCGCGCTTCGGGCAGGGCAGGCATCTCCTCACCCCTGTCCCCCTCCTGCACTGCCCTTTTCCTTCATTCCTCTGAAACACAAACAAAAAACCCTTCCTGCTTTATTTATAAATGCGTGTTTTTATACTTTCGGCTTTAGGCAAAATAATACTTTGTCTTTTTTTTTAATTATTATTTCGGAAAAGAATTTAAAATTCTTTTTTTGGTTGGTTTTTTTTTTTTTTTTTTTTGGTTTTGTTTTTTGTTTTTTTTGTTTTTTGCACTGTGAGGCTCCCCCGGGAGCTGTTTTTAACTCTGTATCCATTTGTACTTCGTGTCTTAAACTGTTTCAATAAAAACGTGACCATTTGTTACTGCGCTGCGCGACTCACTGGGGCATTGCGCCCGTGGTTCGTTTTCCGGGGGAAGGGGCGGGCAGGGGGCGGGAGCAGGCGGGGCCGGTCGCTGCGGGGCCGGGCTGTGCATGGCGGAGGGCGCGGCGCTGCGGGCCGTGAGGGGCTGCCTGGCCGCCTTCCCGCGGGAGGCCCGCGGTGAGCGCCGGAGCGCGGAGCGGGGCGGGGGAGGCCGCGGTGACCCCGCCCGGGGCGGGCAGTGGTGCTGGGCCGGCCCCGCCGCCGCCCCGGGGCCCGGCCCGCCCGGTGCTGCCGCCTCAGCGAGCGGCAGCGCCGTGGGGCCGTCAGCGGCACCCACTGCGCTGCCGGCATGTGGTAGTTCCGAGGTCAAGGTGAAGCAGAAAGGCCCCGGCGAGAAGAAAGCGAAACTCGAGAAAACGGTCCTTTAATGGTTGTTTCTCTTTGTATAAAGTAGCAAAACAAAGCACTATTCTAGCTTCCAAAATACCATTCTGTGGTATCACCTCTGTATGGGAGGTGCACTTCCTATGGCACAGGCCCTTTGGCCCTTTATCCTCAGGCGCTGGCCTAAGGTTTCCATCCGGCTCTGAAAGCGCCCTAACACTCTCTGGGCTTTAGTAGAGGGATTCTGGATCCGTGGAAAGCGCTGCTTGGTGTCAGCGTGGTGAGGCGCGTGAAGCCCGTGTGCTGGAAGGAGGCACTTGTCCCGGGATGCTGAGTAACACTGTTTATTGTTTGCCTGGACAGAGCTGGGCTGGCCGGAGTCCGTGCCCTGTCTTGATAGGCCTCCGTCCCCGCTGGAGTTCTATCGAGAGTGGGTGAGTCCGAATAAACCCTGCGTAATCCGCAACGCCATCAGCCACTGGCCAGCTCTGAAGAAATGGACCTCAGCATACCTCAGGTATGAGCGAGCTGTGGAGCAGGACTGGTGTTCAGTTTTGGGTGACCTCACCAAAAACCCCTTGGTTAATCTTTGCTTTTATTTGCAAGTTTAGCCCAGATTCCTTCCTGTTTCTGGCTGAAGGTGCTCAGTCTTCCCAAGGTCAGGTGTGTCTTCCTTGCACACACACTGCCCTCCCAGTTGCAGCCAGGAGGGTGGATGATGTGGCTGTGTGCAGCCAACAGACTTAGGCTATTGAAACCCACACAGCTGGAGTGGGGCTGTAATGCTCTAAGAACAGACTCTTGTTTGTGACTGAGCACACCTTGTTTTCTTCAAAAAACTAAAGGGTGAGCATTTTAATAATGACTGAAATTTTAACAAAAAGTCTTCTTTTAAGAGAGGATTTGTGGTTAGACCTAGTATCTATGAGTCAGATTCTGTGGGGTTTTAAGGTAAATATCTCATGGAACTAAGGACTATTAGCCTCATGGGGTGTGTATCTATCAGTTTCTGTCCACCCCTTCTCCCTGCTCAGATGCTTTTTCAGAACATGTGAACCCGTGGATTTGGCTGAGTTTAACAGCTACAATAATATCAAGCTCTGCCATGACTGGTGAAAAGAAGTGGCCAAAGAGGACCACTGCATGGAGGAAAAGGGAGATCCCTTGTGAGCGTACCTGTTAGGAGAGAATTCAGAGAGGAAAAAGAAACTAGAGTTGCCTTGACTGCAGGGAGCAGTTGGAGCAGAATGCTGGAGTCCTTACCACATAGCAGAAAATCTGATCTAGAGACACCCATCCATGGAATGACAGGCATCTTATTTTTGCTGCCCTTGAAGCATGTTTTTAAAATAACCAGTATGTTATATGAGAACTAATTGCAGGCCTGGGTATAAACCTTTTGATTTGTTTTGCAGGGAGGTGGTAGGTCCCAAGGTGGTGAGTGTGGCAG